TTTTTTTTCATTCATGGGGATACCATAACCTACATCAGACGTTTCCGGGTTAAATCAAGCCATAGATGCTCTATATAGTTAAAGTCCTGAACAGCAAAGGAAAGTAGAAAGGGAAAGGAAATGAGAAAAAAGGGCTCAGACGCTTAGAATAGATGGGGGGAGGTGTTACAGAGTCAAGATCGTTGAGTGCTTATTGACGAAGTGCCTGCGGGGAATAATAAAAGGGGGAGATCAGGGAAGTTGAGTTGATAACATCTAAGAATGAACCCAGAGGCTCGGCAAATCCTCACTCTTCGTCTCTGGATAATCCGTATCGCTCATAAAAGTGGGGTGCGGTTTTCTTCTTCATTAGGGTATATAAATCCGGCCATCGAGGCCTCAAGAGTGTCGTGAAGAGCGAGGAGACGATTCTGAAAGGAATCAAGATCCTTCCATGACACATCATTCGTGGCTTTAGGAGTGTCGTTTGGTAAGCTGGGGCTATAAGTTGTCGGCAAAGACTGGCTATCATCAACCTCAGAAGCAGGGGTTTGTTCTATCTTGAGCTTGTCGTGGCCTGTGCTCTGATTAACCAAAGTTTCTTTTTCCAGCCAAAACTCATAGTGCTTGATAAAGCTTCCATGAGTTGTACAGGCTAGTGAAAAGGATGGGGTCATCTCACTGCGAGGTGACATCGTCTCTGGCCGAGGAGACAAAGTCGAGCTTCTATCTCTAGCATCGGGCTCGGGCGTATAGCAACTCATATCGGATGGAGTATCTAAATCTGTATAAGCAGCTGATGCAACGGATACGGGATCATATAGAAGTAACCTACCAGGCTCGGGGCTTGACCGATGGCTCAGCGGTTGGGTTTCGGGTTGAGAGTGAGGTTGAAGTTGAGGCGGAGATTGGGACTGAGACTCGGCGCGACCTTTGTTATCCCAGTGAGTACCGTATCTACGGACGAAACGAGCGATGCGTTTCGAATCCACTTCTTGACCGGCGACACGAAATCCAGTCTGTTTTCCCCGGGCAGCTCGTTTTTGTTGTTTTCGAATCATCACATGAACTTCTTTGGCTTTTATATTCTTCCGAATATGCCAGGCTGCCAACCGGTCTTTGTATTGTTTTTCTCTGCGAAGCTTATGCGTTAGGGTTGCTTTTTTATTTTAAAATTGTTCCGATTCGGCCATTTGAAGAAAAAGAAAAGAAACCAAGGAGCAAGGCAGACAGGAGCTTTCGCGGAAAAAAAGAAAATAAAACAAATAGACGGGAGCAACAATGACAAACAACAGGAACACTGTGTATCAATTTTCAAATACATCAACAGGGTCCCAAAGCCCTTGAGATATCCATGGAGTAAATCTAGGGTTCAAAAACGACAATAGAGGTAGGATCGTAGGAGGGATTAGCACTGATGGAACGGGACTAGGGGAAACAGGGTAAGAGAGAGAAGGAAACGGGAGGTCAGTACGATGCATGAAACTTATAATCACGCTCCATGATTCTCTTGACATCTCTGAGCTTTAATTGATTGTCACGATAGAGTTGCTCGATGATCGGACGGTACTCGTGCCAGTCCTCGGATCTGCGGGGGCGAAAGATGGATGATGAAGTGGATGGCGAGGGCGAAATGGGAGACATAGCGGACGACGGAGGGATGGAGCCATCCATCGTGGGCAGATCTCTAGAAAATACCGTCACTCATACTCTTGCGCCGTGTCGCGGTGAGAATTAACTATCTCAGCTGGTGTCGGGACGACGATGAGCTGAAACGATGAAAGTGTGGAGTACGACACCAGATAAGGACCGGAGAAAGTATTGGAGGTAAAAGAAATAAAGAAGTCTTTATGTAGTTACAGAAATAAAATCGAAAAGAGAAGAAAAGAGAAAGTAAAAAAGAAAAGAAAAGCAGATAGGAGAGGCGTAAGTGGGAAAGAAGCAGTAGAAACTTGAAAGTCGTAACTAATTAGTTGACGGGTGGTCAAAGCAGCCGCAATAACAAGATCGAAAAAGATGGTCCAACGGAGTCAAGGCTTGGGGAAGTGGGAATTGGTAATAATTATAGCGATAAGTAATAATTGGGGACGATGAATGTATTGTATGTTAGTAGTAAGTAGTAGTTCGGTCAGTGCCCATACGTACATACATACATAGTTAACTAAAGTTAGTCGTGATTAAGAGAGAGAGAGAGAGAGAGGAGAGCGAAAAATTAATAATAAAGAAAAATCGCAAAAGAAAATAATAAAAACATTATCGAGTGTCAGGACCGGACAACGATGTCGAGGAAATCAGAATCATAATAATAATCGAGTATGCATGTGTCTAAGTATGTTATACGCCGTAACAATTGGTTCCAAGGACTTGGCTTTCGATTTCTCTCACTCCTTTGGTCTTTTTGCAATTTTTCTCCTCTCCCATACTACTTACTACACTCTCCTGATTTTTTTCTCTCTTAAGCTTCCAACCATATCCTGCCAACAAATCATAAAAAGTGGAAATCAAGTCAGCAGTCATCCAGGCATCACGGGAGTATAAATAAATAAAACATCCAAGCGAAACCTAGAGAACAATGGCCATACCGAAGCTCTCTTCGCCCCCCCCCCCCATACATACAAAAAGATACTCTTACATAGTACGGTAGGACTTCCGGTCCAACGGGGCAACCGAAGTGGTTCGCCCGCTCGGATACGGAGCAGCTAAACCTCCCTAAGAGCTAGCGCTTCCAACTAATTAAAAGTACTGCTGCTGACTGGCAGGGCCGCCTGCCCTTTGCGGCGACTTGCTGCTGGGACTGACTTGCGGGAGGCTCGATCCCTGCTTCCCCGAGCCAATTGAGGAATAGCTGCTTGGGTCCGTGTACTTTTGTCACGTTCTGACCACTGCATGTACATGTAAGTACTGCCCACCTCTGTCTGTGCTTCCGCCAACGATGCCCATAGTACCAAAGTCTAACGAGCTAAGCACCATCCCTGGGAGGTCTCACAAGTTTACCACTTTGGAATATAACGGGTTTGAGACAAAGGCAGCAAAGAAAAAAATATATAATAAGGGGTGGGCATGAAAGAATAGAAGAATAGAAGAATAAGCACAAGAAAGTAACAAATAGCAGAGAATTTGGAATAAACCTAGAATCAACAATGCCTTATGTGGGTAATGGAAACGGTAATACCATCAGCCTGCTAATTACAGTTCAGTTGTCGACGAAACATACATGTATGTAGGTTGCAGAGGAAGTATTTTTAATCTACAAGGAGGCATGATTGGCATCAACTTGCCTATTATAGCAACGTTCTGAGAAGTCGAAGGTAAGAAAAAATAATAATAATAATAATCAACAATAAATATCCACTCACACTGAAATTCAGGACAAAGAGAAGAAAAGAACACTCCAGGCTTGATGAAAATGTGTTCTTACATAACCCCTTTGCAGGGCAACAGAAATTAAAATAGGGAAAAAAGAAAATAAAAAAGTATGAGGAGGAATTACTGTAGTGAAATGCTAGTAAAAACAATTACCAGTGGGAAAGTGATCACTTAGTCTGCATACGCCATTTTCTGCAGGTGCAACATTCGAGGATCATCATTGTCGGTTGTCAGATCACCAAGGTTAGACCCTTCTTTGGCCTTGACATTGTCCGAGATGGCGCGAGGCGAACAGGGATCGGCTTTAGTATTCTTTTTCCTTTTGTCTCCGAGACTTTCAGGTATTGTTTTTGGAACGGGGTTTTATTCTACTAATAACGTGGTCAATATGGACGCAAGAACAGAAAAATGAAAATTAAAGAGGAAGGGAAAAAAAAACATAGAAAAGTCAAGTAACTAAAATCTACTATCAGAATCTCTGTGACGATTTAAATGTCGCTGGTACCTTTTTCCATTTTTCGTCACTATCCTTTTTTCCCTTACCTGACTTTTCCATCCTTCAAGAAAACACATTTAATCTATTCGAGCCTTAACTGAGAAAACGCTCGAGACGGTGTGGCAAAGTTCGGGTCATAGGCTGGGGCCTGAGCTCCAAACGTCCCCAAATGTCTCCTCGCGATGGAGTCGTAAACGTCCCTATTAAGTTAGAGTATAACGGCCCCATTATTCTGGTATATTAAATTGTTCGAATTAGGAGTAGTCGCGAGTTTGGTTTTTACTGACAGGTACGCTAGAGATAGTTGGACTGTCAAAGCACAAGGAACGTCGGCCCGGAATAGCATATTCGGCGGACGGTGATTTGAATTAGTTCAACAGGAAGTAATCAGAGAGGGCGAAAAACAAAGAGACGATTTTGCAATGTAGTAATTACTAACCGACATTACCGACGCATGGACAATCCGCTTGCTAAAGTTTTGCTAGAAATTCTTGTCGAATCCTGTGCATTTTCTGCAGATGGTGAAACCCTTTTTAGTTGTTCTTTTTTGGATGGAAAAGAATGCCATTCAGGACTTTGCTTCGACTCTTCGGTCAATTTCCCCCTCTCATGTCTAGCTGCATATTTCGCATCTCCTGTTTTAAGGTCGGCAAAACGGTCGACCATACTGTCCCAAGTAGATCCTGCGGGCCGTACTCGGTACAGACAACAGGACGTGCCAACAGGCCAATGAGCAGCTGACACTAGGTACGATTTTCCTGTGGGTGCGGCATGAAACATGGTAAATGTGAGTAGTATACCTCATATCAAACGCATCGTCTCGAGCAGAAGGGACTCGGCGCAATGACACGGCGCTTTGAACATTTAGCACTGGACCTTTGGTACTTTTGCCACTCATAATCCCTCTCGCATGAAACGCAGCGAACAAGCGTGTCGAATCTTCTGGACACATTCGCGAATTCTGCCACCATGTGCAATAATCACGGTGCGATATGATGTGGCGCCCGTTGGGGCTCAAGATTTTCAAAGTTTATGGCCTTCGTAATCCTCCGCCAATTGGTTGCCAAATCTTGTCTGACAGATCACATGGGGAAGAAAACGCGTACCCGAGGAAGGGAGAGAACGAGAGGGAGAGAAAGACTATCTGTGTGTGTGTTGTGTGTCTCTGATCTAGGTACTGAGACCGTCACTCACCTGACAATAAATAGCATCAGCATCCAGCGAGGGATGGTCGATCCCACTGTCGACGGATGGAGACCACGTCAATCAGCATTCTCACAGGTTAGTTCCTCAGCAGTTGCCTTGAGCAGTGCGGCATTTCCATTGCTTAGGTATGTTAAAGGATCTTGAAACGGACTAGAGGACGTAGGTATGCACATGATCCTAAGGGCCATACTAGAAAGAGTTCTTTTCTTACCACACATTGGGCTGCTTACACTCTCGGCGTTTAGTCTTCACTAGAACATCGAGGGTAGTCTCGACTATTAAGAAATTGTATTCTACGAATTCTAGAGGGCATGAAATATGACATGGCATGATATTTTATTTATGTCAGATTGTATCAGAGTGACTCTTTTACTATTCCATTACACATCTAGACATGGTATGTATAACCAGCCATCCATACTGTCCAATGGTCAACCTGCGCAAGCCCTTTGTAAGTAATAGTCTATGATCTAATGCACAGTGACCAGCATCTACTTTCACCTCTAGATGGACATACCTCCCAGGCTGCTACACAGTATTGTTGGTGTCCAGGGTACATGGACACATTTTCAAATAATTCAAGATACCGCTGATCTCGCTGCGAATTGTTTCCATGTATGGAAGAACCAAAGTAAGGCTGATAGGGCAAAGAAAGTAAGGAGTGAAGAAAAAGATAAGGAAGAAGGAAATTGAGAGAATTAAAAAAAAGAAAAAGAAAAAAAGCTTCGACCAACGCAGAAATGTTCCCATAAACGTTAGTTCACATCAGGTCCAGGATAGTCATCCCTCCGCCTGCTTTAGTTCAGACATGTGGATCTTGACGGTAAGAAGCGGAGAGGATTCACGAGGTGCTGTTTAGTATGTTTTGGAGGTTCAGCTTTGCTCTGGCCTTCAGGCTCTTGAGTCATGGTCGATTACTGGAGACTTCAGAGTGGAAGAAACATCCAGGCGAACACTACACATGATACGTTGTTTCCTTTGTGCCTCACTATGAACCTATCGAAAGAGTGACGGCACCGATTTCTTTCATTTCAGACCGAGAACTATTGTCCTGCTGTGTAGCATGCTACATACGGAAGGGGAAAGAAGGTATGCCCTCCACATATCAGATGGATATGTATAGGTTTTTGGTAAGCGCCTGTGCTAATTCATCTGTCATAGTGTTGATATCAGACAATTATGACCAGGTTACAAGGTCTACCCAGAGGGTATGTAATAGTAATAGTGTCCTACAATCCTAATACATATGTGATCCAACTATCGTTGCCAGAGGTAGAGAACATAAGATTATGTTTAGTGAACGGAATCCTCCCGCGGCGTAACTATAGAGCAGTGGATTAAGGATCGGGCGTGAGTACTAACCTGACTCGACCAAGTTGTATCCAATACCATACAAAACCGTACTAAAAGCTGGGTCTTTTCTTTCTTTCTTTCTAATGTTTTTCTTTTTTTCTTTTTTCTTTTTTCTCTCTAAAGGTACTAAGGATGTATGATAAATTATGCCCTAAGTATAGCCCGACCTAGACGTAAGGGCCAAGAAACAACAAAAATGGCAAGGCAACCTGACAGTTACATTGATTCTGTGACCTCCTTCCTGTCACGCCGAGTCCAGGTTCCCTGTTATTGTGGCTCGCAGAGACCGTCATAATTGCTATTTTCTTTAGAGACACCGATAGCGTCAGAAGGGGAATTCGATTGTCAGCATTGCGCATATACTTGTTGGGGGTTGTCCCCCTCTATAACAAAGAAATAGGATAGAAAGGGAAAAATCAGAGACAACAAAGAACAAAGAGGCAAGATAGCAGGATTCTTCCTCGTGCGTCGTGTGCCCGGGAGCGGGCCGAAACATTCCTGGTCGACGTGTAGAATCCACGCAGACCGTCTGTATAACATCGACAGTCCCAGCGCCATGGATCTACTGAGTCCGTCTCGAGTTGGCTGATTCCTTAGTGTTCTTTGTTGTCATTACATGAGCATCCCTGTACCGTATATATTCTCTTCCATGTGCCTTGTTGCCCCAAGTACGTTGGCATAGCCAAGTCGAGGGGTTCTGAGCTAAATAGCGCGAAAGAGACCAAGAATCGGTATGCGCAGAGACGAATGTGGATAATCTCAGCCCGTGTTGTTTGTCATGGGAAATAGCGAGCGGTCACATCGTCGCTCTTGGGGGAGCGACTAAGTGATGATCTCCCGCCACCTTTACTCTGTCTAGTGGCGTCAGGGTGAGCCCCGTTGTTGTCACAAGACATATTCCGTCAGAAGCCTGTGGTTTCATGCCTCCTTTCTTTTTCTTCCCCTTCCTGGCATTTTCATGAGAGTAAAAGTGATGTCATAGCTCGACCATATTTCAGATCCAACGAGATAGTTGGGCATAATAACTAAGATACTTCACGATACCGCCAATGATCCGCCGGCGTAAGAGCGGCATGCGTCCGATGCAAGGGTGATGAAATGTCGAGCATTCTGTATGGTCTCGCAAAACAAATATACAGTTAACCCGCCATTAAAGCCGACCGCGGTAGTAACCTTGCCTTAGCAGTATTCGCTGAGCTTCTTTCGGAAATGAACATTGGCGGAGGGCTCCAGTATCCAAATCTGTCCATTGTATAAGTTGCCGGAATAAGGGCCCTTATCTGCCCGCAGTGATAGCCTGACACTAGTGCTGGTTGAGAGGGATAAGTTAGTTGCGTGGTTTCTATGGTTCATCTATATTACAGTCTTATTTGTTTGCGGGACCAACTGCGGCTGCAATGTTAGCAGAATTATTGGAGCCAGCGCTGGCAACATTGCTTGCATGGGCTAACAAGAACTTGCAACAGGTCAGTGTGTATTTGCAAGCACGAGTCCAGGTCTCGTCATTATTGTGAAAGCCCAGTTTGATACTCGCATCTCCGATTTTATCTCGTTTGATAGCATATGGAAGCTTCAAGCCCGGAGCGGTCATTCCGGCATGACCTCGGCGATTCGATGGCATCGGAGCTGGCGTGTTCTCCACAAAGTCCCCAAGCTGACGTAGGCACTCCAGGAAGGCCACCATTCCTGCATCAAACCGGCGATGAAGCCAAGGAAGGTTGAGTGGCAGGTCACCAGAGGAGAACAAGTCCAGGGTGGTAATCTTAGGCGGCGCCGACGGAGTCGCGCTCCCCCCACCGATGGTGGACTGTGCTGGTGATCCCCGTGGATATTCTAGTTTCTCAATTCTGGACATCGACCCCATTGGCCTGAGTTGGTACCCTTGAAATTCAAAGCCCAATTTATCCGCAATGGTGGCCAGCAATAAGGCTGTCTGACCCCAAGCTGCGTTAATCTCCGGCCAGTCTACGGATGGGTTTGTAAGGCGCCCAAGTCGCAAGCCGTTTATAGTTCCAAAGTACCCATCATGACCAATGCAGAAAGCATCGTTATAAACATTAGTCCTTTGAAGCCTTTCAAGCTGCCGAGAGTCATGGTCGTATCTCATGTTAAGAGCATCCCGCTCATTTTGGAAATCGGCCAATGTTAGAGAAAATGTGTTGCGGTCACGCCAAAACCTTTCCTCTTCGAGGTCTAATTGACGAGCCTCCTCTTCAAGGTCAGCTATCTCTTCATCCAAGGCTGCTTTCTCCTCTTCCAGTGCTACAAGCTCTGCGAACGCTGCCTCCTCTGCCTCTAACATTTCCTTCAGGGACTTTTCAGCCGCTTCAAGCTCCTCGGCCGTTGGTACAGATGAATTGAGATTCCGTAAGAATGAAATATAAGCATCTCGCTCCTTCGTGGCATCTACCAGTCGTTTCTGGAGTCCGTTCACAAGCATTTCCGTGCATTCAGTGCAGATTGGATGGTCAATGTCAGAGCGAGAGGAGATGATTTCAAAGAGGCGGCTCGTTCGCTCGACTTGGTCCGCGAATGATCCGTCGTCTATTTCACGATCAACATTTTGAGTACTGAGGGGTCGTTTGCCTTTCGGGGTACTGTCGCCATTAACACCAATTGCCGCATGCGGTGGTCCGACTTGAGACTCCGTAAGCATAACGAAGGACATGTTCCCACTGTCCCCTCGTCCTAGCCTAGGTGGATTGTTCTGATTACTGCCAGCTTGGCGCGGTGCAGGAATGGATCTTCGATAAACTGGAGACGCAACGTTCTTGGACACACGGTCGTACAGGTCTCGCCTTTCTTGAGGAAACGAATTTCTGGAGGAAGAAGCAGTGCCTTGCTCCGGTAGGGTTTTACCTGTAGAGCCTTAATAAATTAGTTACGCTGTATAAGGAATCCAAACTAAGCAAATCAAATGAGACCATACTGGTAAGCAGATCGAAGGCAGCTGGATTGAGCGACTCCAGAGAGCCATCCAGCTTCAACTGAGTTCGACATTTCTGACAGTACATGTTGGCAGTTGTTTGAAGATGCCCTTCCATTCATTATGGGGACAAGAAATATTATCAAGGCATGCGACGTCTGGTTGTTTGCTTGATAGAATTAGGAATGATGTGCGGCACGGGAATCCGTTCGCGGAGAGACGTCATGCGGCGATCCCGTGCCAACGGCGCGTGTTTTGGTGTCCGCCTGCGAAAAAAAGCCGAACCCTCGACCTTTTGGTCAATTTAATTCTGTAGGATGGGCTATCATACAATTAACTATCACGCTTAGCAGCATTGTCGCAAGCTTTGAATCTAAGTAGCTACTTCCTAACACCAAATTGCTTTCCAGTTACGCTGTTTACTAAGACAATTAATTCTTGCCGCATCTTACACTCCAGCTCCATGAGTCGGTAGGTAATACTATGACGCTGCCCGTCCGCATTGCAATGTTATCTTTCCAAATGACTAATTTTTTCTTTTGCAGTAGAGTAACGTGTCAATTATCCTTCCCATTCTTCCCTCTATAGCCACACAAAGGCCACAACTAAGCCTCTTCAAGCTCAAAACGTGCTTCTATAGGAACAGCATGACGATGGAGAGACCCCTCAAGAGACCTCGATTGTCCTTTGCTACCGGCGCAGATGATGAGCCAGGTGATATAGACCTACAAGAAGCTCGCGCGCAAAATGATCAACGACTCAAATCGATTTTCGAGGGTATTTTCGAAAAATACGGCAAAGACTTTACGGATGTGGGAGATGAAATCGATTTACAAACCGGAAAGATAGTGGTGGATAACGGACATATTCAAGCAATGCAAGAAGAGGACGATACTGGCGAAGAAGCCCCGTGGCTGTTTGACACGGAAAATTCCGCACTAGATGATGCAGCTACGGTGCACAATATCTCTCAATACTCGGAAACAGGGGTTGGTGGTGACCTTTTGGAAGAGGATAACACATATCTTCAACACCCACAAGTAGCAACGCAGCTTCAAGCCGGGTCAGGCTTCGGTGGGCCTTGGGAGAGCAGAGAAAGTGAGGCGTCGAGCGCCGAGTCCGATGTCGACGAAGATAGGTCTAGTGTGGATTCTTTGTTGGATACAGCACTAAGTGTCCAGAACGGCCCGGACGATCCCGTTCGGCAAAAAAACTTGATGGATACTGACGAGGCCGTCACAAAAAAAGCAAAACCTACGACTGAGACATCCACCCAATCTCAAATCCTGCAGAAACACAGCTCTATAGAAGCGGTGGATTCGGTGTGGCGCGTCCCTGAAATTAGCGGCAAATTTTCTACGCCTCCATTGAGCAGATCACGACCAACGGTTTATTTCAATGTCGTACGGTCCGCATCTCCACCCGGAGCAGGTTCTATCTGGGCACTGCCCGGGAAGTCCAGGCGTAACACCAGCATTACGCAAAAGAGATCTGCAAAGAAACACGAAAGCAGCCAACGCAGATGGAAGCCTCAATCTAGTCCGACTATGTGCGACTGGTCTTTCGCACAGACACCGGATGGAAACGAATCTGACGATCCCTTACAGGAAAACTATCAGCCGTCACCTACGCCGAAAGGGGGGCTAAAGATTAGAGGCAGAGTAGGACCAGATACTCCGAGTCGCAGGAAGGATCTAGTTGATGACCGCAAGGTGTCTCCTCTGCGAGGTGATCATGCCTCTCGGCTCCACCAGACTTCACTCAACTCCGCGGAAGATCAGCGCAACACTACGGAAGCAGCAAATCAACTAGAGGCCACCGTTAACAAAGTGGCTTTGGATACGCAGCTTGTAACCACGAGCGATACTAAAATTCATGATATCTCGCCTGAAGTTACACACGACCCAAAAATCACACCGACTGGGTATCAACCCAAACCCCAGGACTCCACTAGCCCCAGCAAGCGTACCAGAACGACTATTACACCAGATGAAGCGAGACTAATTGTGGTTTTGAAACAAGTGCAGGGGAAAAAATGGAAGGAAATTATAGACCGTTTACCGTGGAAGAAGCTGCCGCAACTTGTCCAATGGAATCACTTACACTGGAATGAGCGCCGGGCGAACCCACCTCCACTGTCCAAGCCTTGGTCGAGTACAGAGCGAGAGACTCTCCATGACCTCAAGGACGAACGCGGCCTTGCATGGCATGCAGTACGCGCAAGATTGCCGGGGCGATCTATCGCGGAGATAGAATTTGAGCTCCTGAGACTCTGGGTGGGTGATGATGTTTGGAACACCGAACAACAGGGACTGCAGCATCTTTCACCATGGATTAGTGATTAGACGGATCCGAGGTCCTCTGTTCTGAGCCACAGCACAGCCTCTCAACAGGAGCAGCGAGGATCCGGGCCACAAGATCCGTCAGGCTGCCCCCACGGCACCCTACTTAGGAAGTCACTCATAATCTAGTATAAAGGCGAATCAGTCGACTCTCATTTCCTGAGGTCTCGAACGTCGTGGTGCATTCCAACCTGCAGCTGAAACCCAGCAAGTGAAGCATGCTAGCATAAGATCGGGTATTACCGGCCACTGGAGGTCAGAAAGTTCCCCGAGTAGCGCCTTCAAAGAGACTGTTAAGTGTGCTTCAGGCCCCACAGCCGCTCGGTGATAAGTCCTATATCGCACATAATATAGTGTACAATAGACGAATCTTTATTGGTCATCCTTTGCGTTCAAAACGTCCTCCAGTTTTGTGTCTACTGCCCCGCCGACATCCCCGGCCCTAGCCAGAATCTTGAAAGATGTCTGGAGCCAGAATCAGATAGGACTGTGACAATTCTGTGGCCCGGACCAAGTTTCATGGCTGTCTTGACCGCTGCAAAGCCTAGAGCAGAAATCAGTAAGCGTAGGGAAAGGTGACCAAGAAACACCTACAATTAACAGCACTACTGCTTCCGATGAAGATGCCATCCTTTTCTACCAGCCACCTGGCCATTGCTAAAGCCTGGGCATCTGTCACTCTAACAGCATCATCAACCAGCTCCTTTCCTGCTTCAAAATTGGCTGTCACACGGTTGATTCCAATACCCTCAACAATAGTGTCAACTTGCCGCCGTCTTCTAGTACCTTCTTTCTCCTTTAAATCGAACATCACGCCATAGCGGACTCTGTTGTAAAGTCCACTGCCCTGGGGATCCGCAAGCACAACACTTAAATGAGGAATTCGCGGCTTCAGGAAGAGCGCTACACCAGAAATTGTGCCTCCGGTCCCAGCTCCTGCAACAAATGCATCAAGTCTTCCGTTGCACTGAGCGTAGATCTCGGGGCCCGTGCCGTTGAAATGAGCCCTCCAGTTAGCTTCGTTCTCAAATTGATCTGCAAAGAAGCCTCTCCCCGCTTTGGGCCCGGGAAACTCTGGGGGATCGGGCATCAAAGGTTCTAGGTTTGACTTTGTAGTAGAAGTGGCTGTATGAACATTGGCGAGGGCGCGTGCTCGATTGACAAAGTTTTCCTTTTCCACAATTGGTGCAGGCGGAACACGATCCACAATTGCGCCGAGTTTGAGAAGCAGGTTTGATTTCTCAATGGCTTGATCAGATGGCATACAGCTATGTTATCATTAGTTCAAGATACAGCGGATTAGAGGTGAGAAGTATATAGGCAATATTACTCACATATGAGCCAGATAGCCCTTTGCACGGGCTAGAGTGGCCAACGATATGCCAGTTGAACCAGAAGTGCCTTCGTAAATTGTATCTCCAGAATGAGGTGTCAAGATATCTCGTTCCTCAGCCTGGACGGAGATTAGGACAATGTACAAACAACCGAATAACAGAACATACCAGTTCGATCATGCTCAGTGCGACACGGTCTTTGGAGCTTTGACCAGCTCCATTCAAAAACTAGCACTAAGTCAGCGAGCGTTCTATGTATGAAAAAGTATATGGAAAACATACTTCAGCCTTTCCCAGTATCTCACATCCCGTAGCTTCGGACAAGGACTTGATTCGGAATAAGGGAGTATTCCCTATGCAACCCTCAATCCCCTCCACAATCACAGGAGGCCCGGGCCTAGCTGCTAGAGTATCTACAGGAAGATCCTGTAGGTCACTTCTAGACTGGTCATGACGTCGAGCTCGATATTCTCGGAGGCGTTGTTCTAACTCCGGATATAGAAGATCCTTGAAACCTAGCGTCAAGAGGGCCCCAGCAATGAAGGCCGTGCCTATGTATACATGCGAACGGTCATTCATATTTGGAATTGCAACCCTTAAGTAAGACCAAACGAGGAAGAAAGTTGCGCAATCGAAGGTCGCGCGGGAGGAACGCCGGAGAAAACGCTCGGGCCACACCCGACGTTAAGCAGTTGCAGGTCGTTTCTCTCCGTCTTGCTCTCGCAACGCAACTTGCGACTCCGGTAAGTTCCCCTCCACTGCTGTCAATTCATCTGCCCATGGACTCCCCAGTCCTCAGTCAGCTGTTCCGGCAGCTGTTCAGGCATCCTGCCTGTCAGTCACTTCGGTCCTCATCTGCCCTCGCAGGCCGCAGGCCGCAGTACATTCGATTATCCACACCACGTCAACAATGCCGTCCTTTTCTCACGCGACGTTCGGCAGCCAAGCGGAAGAATGTCGACGATGGCATGAATTGGAACAAACGGGGCGACTACCCGAAAGATATTGAAGAGGAGTTGAAGGAATTCCCGCTTGTTACAGCCAAAGACCTGCGTCATCGGCGGGAGCGGCCGCGACAGGTGAAGATGTTGACTAGAGAATTCATTGACGGTATGTTCTCACCAGTGCACCGCTAATGCTGAGTACTGTTACTCATGATCTTTCTAACATCACCCTAGACAGTCTATATAATCCCCACTATGGTTACTTCTCAAAGCATGCGACCATTTTCAGTCCCGGGGAACCATTCGATTTCAACAACATTGAGGACGGGCCAGCGTTCCATCGGATGTTAGGGGACCGGTATATAGAATTTGAGGACCGCTTGGATGAGACACAACCGGATATAGCTCGTCAGCTGTGGCATACACCCACGGAACTTTTCCGCCCCTATTACGGAGAGACGATCGCCCGGTACCTGGTATCGAACTACAAACTGACGCTCTACCCCTACCACGATCTAATAATATACGAGATGGGCGCCGGAAACGGAACCATGATGATCAACATATTGGATTTCATCCGCGACACAGATTACGAAGTCTACCAGCGCACCAAGTTCAAGATCATCGAGATTTCGTCCAACCTTGCGGGACTCCAAATGAAGAACCTGATGGATTCGATCAACGCCGCTGGCCATCTGGATCATGTTGAGATCATTAACAAGTCCATCTTCGACTGGGATACATACGTGCACTCCCCATGCTTCTTCCTTGCCCTTGAGGTCATCGACAACTTCTCCCACGACGCGATCCGCTACGACACCGCGACGGAACTCCCCCAGCAGGGCGGAGTGCTCATTGACGCGGACGGCGAATTCCACGAATACTATAATGCGCAGTTGGACCCCGTGGCCTCACGGTTCCTCCGTGTGAGACAAGCCGCTGCACGCCGCGAATTCCCTAGTCCGTTGGGCCCCAGGCTCACTCGCGGTCTGCGCAAGTCCGTGCCCTTCCAGCGCCCTTTCACTCTCCCAGAGTATATCCCCACCCGACTCATGCAGTTCTTCGACATCCTGGACACTTATTTCCCGGGACACCGGCTCGTCGCCAGTGATTTCAGTAGTCTTCCGGATGCCGTTCCGGGTATCAATGCGCCCGTCGTGCAGACCCGGTACAAGCGCCGGACTGTGCCGGTGTCTACTCCATTCGTAAGTCTTTCTTACCGTTCTATTGTATAAATGTATTGTGAAGAATCAATTACTAATGAAATTTTGCGCAACAGGTACATCAGGGATACTTTGATATCTTCTTCCCTACGGACTTCAACGTTGTCGAGGACCTTTACCGGGCCACTACCGGGAAGTTAACCCAGGTTATGAGCCACGAAGACTTTGTACGCCGCTGGGCATATATCGAAGACACTGAGACGAGAAGCGGTGAGAACCCGCTGTTGACCTGGTACAAGAACGCCAGCATGTTGATGACGGTATAATGCATTGACACTGTATATGTGTTCGAAACGAATGGAAGCATATAAGTAGAAAGCAAAGAGAAACATATTCCCCGGTCTCATATATTGCCATTGTATCCATGATCATATATACAGTAAACACGGCCCAATCACCCAGAATTCCATTAATCGATATAAAGGGCCCTATTCTCAACAAAATTGTCCCAAATCACAGCTTAGCTTGGCCATCTTGGGCACTATTTCCCTGCCATGCGAATCCAATCTTCTTCCCGATGCCAGGCTCAACAATAAGGTTCACCACCGTGACCGTATCATTTGAGAATCCCTCGCGCGTAGCAGCTTCAAGTTCTTCCTCGGTACGGACGAAGTACCCCTTTCCACCGCACATGGTGGCCAGCATTTCGTACCGCGTTTCGTACAACAGACTAGTGGAGCGTAGTCCCTTCTTTCCGTCGTCTGATTTCGTGTCGTTGGCTGCGGTCTGATCCTGCAGGGTCCTCCAGGCATCCTCTGTCGTGGTGTCTCCGTGGTAGATTCCAGAGTTGTTGACTACGTATATCAACGCTGGAATTCTGTAGCGTGCCAATGTCTCGATTTCCATGGCGCTGAAGCCGAACGCACTGTCGCCTTCCAGAGCTACGATCTTCTTGGGCCTGGTGGTGCCCGATGGCGCGTTGTATGCTTCATGGGCTGCGACAATGTATCCCATGCCAACGCCCATGGTGGCATATGTACCGGCATCAAGGCGTTGACGGGGATGGTTGAGAGGGAACATCGAACGAGATATGTCCATAGTGTTGGCACCTTCTGAGACGTATACGATGTTCCCTCTTCGAAGGGGGTCAACGAGTTCAGCGTAGACTTGATAATATGATAGGCGCGTTGATACGTCAACGGGGTGTTCTGGGGGGTGGGTCGAAGCGCCGCTTTCTGGGCTTTTGCTTCGTTCTTCTTTGCTGACTCGGCCAGGAGTGATGGGAACTGGCCTTCGGCGGGAGAAGGAGCGTACCGCCAACTTGACAGTGATGATACCAACTGGTCCACAACTAGTTCGATGTCTCCAACGATACCTAGCTCTGCTGTGCCGGCATTGCGTCCGATCTCTTCCGCACAGATATCCACTTGGATGATCTTTGCTTTGGGGGACCATTTGGGCGCTTCACCGAAGTGCAAGATCCAGTTTAAGCGTGCGCCGAGGACCAGGACTACGTCTGCCTGTTTCAAGGCAGTGCTGCGTGCACTGGATGCATTCAGTGGATGGGAGTCTGGCACGACACCCTTTCCCATTGGCGTGGGCAAGAAGGGGATCTGCGTTTGCTCGACTAAGCGTCCGATTCCGGACTCTGCTCTGGCATATGCGGCGCCTTTGCCAATGATTACGAGCGGCGAGCGTGCCGTCTTCAGCAGTTGGGTAGCCTTGAGGATCAATGCTGGGTCGCCGCTCGCCTTCGGCGGCGACGGGACCAGCAAGCGTTCTGGCTCTGGCAGACGAAACCCTGGGGCTGATTTGCCTTGGATGATGTCGGCAGGTAAGTCGACAAAGGTCGGCCCGGGACGACCATACCAGCAAGTCCTATAGGCGTTTTTCACAGCACCCGGGATGAAATCAATCGACGACGCTCGCACAGCGAACTTAGTATGAGGTGTCAGGAACGAGATGGCATCCATCTCTTGGAAGGCTCCCTTAGTGACAGCGGTCGTTTCGGCCGACCCGGCGAGAACAAGGAGTGGGAAGTTATTCGCGGAGGCATTGCCAATCTATCGAGGTACCGACGGTCAGTACGAGCCGGACAGTGCTTCAGATGCGGAGATGAACTTGCCCCCGATAATGCGTGGAGAACACCGGGCCCTCCTACGACGAGACAGACACCTGGCCGTCCCGTCATATACCCATAGACGCTGGCTGCATAGCTGCATGCCTGCTCGTTGCGGAACGCTACAAAGCGAATGCCCAGGTTGATAGCTTCCTCGGCGATCTCCACCACGGGGATTCCTACAATGCCGAAGATAACATCAACGCCCACATCGCGCAGCGTCCGAGCGATCAGCTGAGCACCTGTTGCCACGGCCATAGTCGTTATTTCTTCGATTCGACTAGTTTTGAAAAGATATCATAGACTGAAATTCGTCGACATGGATGAAAGTTGGCTTGCTCCACACTGGCGGGAAGCGGAGAGCGGCGAGAAATGCGGAGGAGCTTCAAAGACAAGCTTCCGAGGCACAGATCATGGCTGCCTGACTCTCGGCAAATATCATCAGCCCTACTAACCTACTGAGAAGCTGTGTGTAGAACTCCACCCTTCGGTACATCTTGAATATTTCATATCTATCCCAAGGAACACAGAGTCATCTATCTCAGAACCTTTCCTAAGGTCTTTCCCACTGTTTTACAAAGATCTAAAACCCGAAAGCGCTGCATTTTGACCCATATATGGAGAACCATGGTATCCAACATATCAACAGTGACATAAACCGTATAGACACCGCATTCTAGGTTCAGCCTAGAAAGAAAGGAACACGCAACTCAAAGAAAACGAAATGGCATCATTTAAAATTCAAATTCCTTTCGGAAGACATTCACATCCATGCCAGCCACGACCATGTCGGCCAAATCCCGACGTCCCATTTGGCTGAACACACGCCGCAGGGTGTCATACAAGTTAGTGCTCTGGTTCTGGCTGATATGAATCATCCGTTCAAGCTGTTCATCGTCGACACCACCATCACCGCCGATAATCTCACGGGCGCGTTCACGGCCTTCCTGCTCGACAACACGGTGCATGGACAGCGCACCCAACAGATGCTGAGCAGCTTCTGGGTAGCAACCGATATTGATGCATGACACGCCCAGATTATATCTCGCGCGGACAAAGTTGGCATTAATGTTCAGGGCTTGCTCGTAAGCTTCGATAGCCTCCTCAGAACGACCCGAGTTGGCAAGAGTGGCTCCGAGACGGTTCCACAGCAGATGAAGCTGTTCCTGTTGGTTTACAGTTCCCGACTCGGTGGAGGCCAGGGCGGCAGAGAAACAATCCACAGCCTTTTCGTACTCCTCGGCACAGTAGAAAAGAACACCTAAGCCGACCTGCACATCTGGGTCCATTTGTTCACCCGAAGGCGACAATTGAGCTGCCTGGATAAAGAAGTCGGTGACTCGGTCGTGAAGGATCTGGCGATCTGTGAATCCTAGGTCTGCATCCGATGAAAGATCCTTGGGATTAATGATCTGCGGATACTTCACAGAAAGCCAGCGTTCCAGTGTGCGATAAGCCGTGGAGTCGTAGCCTTCATTTGTGTAGGACACGGCGAGCCCCATAAGCGCATCCAGATTATTCGGGTCCACCTTCAGAGCCTGTTCCAGGGCACGGATGGCAGGGAGTTCCTTTTCGTTCTGAGCTTGAGCAGATCCCAGCATGGTCCAGGCTTGCACATGTTGAGGATCCTTCTGTACCGCAGCTTCGAAAGCCAATGCAGCCAAGGAGAGGTTACCTCCCTCGCGCATGATCTTCACACCTTCTTCAAATGGATTGTTGACATTCTTGAACATGTTTTCTTCTTCAAACATGTAATCACCCAGCTGAGGGTCTCGGAAACGAGTGTTGAGAGAGTCAAAGTTATCCCACTCTCCCATATCTCCCATGTGTAAGCTATCAGTAACATTAAATTCGGTATCTTCTTCTGCCAGTTTCCTGCTTGCTGTCGTCTCAGCTTGAACTTTTTGCCATATGTTTTCAAAAGCATCGTAGTCTGCTTCTTTACTAGTGCTGGAGGTGAAGACTGACCTGTCAAGATCGTTCAGTTCCGCCTCAATAGCATCATTAGCCTCATCATCCAGCTTCTGAGTATCCGCGGTCTCCATCTCAGCAAACTGCGCCTCCCAGTTCTCGTCGTCCAATTCGACCATTCGTCCCTTGCCCTTATCTTGCGTGGTGGCCTCCATCGGTTGCTGCTGCATCGCCATAGGGTTATAAGCCGAATGCATCATACCCATGCCACCCATTCCCATATAGCCCATACCCATAGGACGCTGGAAACCCGACATCATCGACGGACCAGAAGTAACCGGATTGGCAGTCTGAGGCACGCCAGTTCTACTCTGTTGTTGGAACCGGGCAAACTCCGCCGGTGAGAATCCCGAGCCATTATTCATCATGGGTCCCTGAGGGCCGGCAAAGGCAGCTCCATGCGAGCCTGCTCACCAGGGTCAAACTCGGCCGCCCAACCCGGAGAGCCAGTCCGAGGTGGCGTGGTCTGGAATTGGTCTAACTCGCGTCTCAAGTGTTCCATCGCAAAAGGCTGTGGCGCGGCCCCGGGGATTTGGCCAGGTTGTTGAGCAAACTCGTCCATCATCTGCGTCATTGTCGGGCTACAGTTAGAATGGGCGGGGGGTTAATGAGACGGTGTAGCGTTCAGCTCGTTCATACCTGATCTTGTCCACCCATCATTCCCATCGACCGCATGCCCTCTTGCATGCCCCCTGGGCCCCTCCCAACGAGCCGATCCCGCTGGAGGGACTTGTCATCTTGTACGTGCTTTGTAAACTGTGTCAACGGGTTTCCCGCTGTAGAACACTCAGCGCCACCGAGGAATGACATCTTCAAAGCAGTCTATTGTAACCGTATTTCAATATGACATAAATAGTGGCTAGTTGTCGGATAGATCGTCTATCATTGAATGATGTCCGGGGAAGTTAAACGGAAAATGAGGAGTTATCTCCACGATTCAACCGTCTCTGATAGTCCCAAGCGTGGGGTTTCGGAGCCGTCCTAAAACCGATCGGAAAGACTGGCGAATGCCGAGGCACCCCGGTAGTCACGTGTGGCCGCGGAGGTTCATGAAGATTAATAATATTTGCCAATTCTAGACCTGACCGCTTCATACTACTGAATGGTACGTATCTCACGCTGAAATGCAAAAGATTTGGTATAAGTCTATGTAAATATTGTACAAAGTACAGCCCAGGGTCTCCGCTGCGTATATGATACATAAATCAACCACAGTCCGTCACTATCTGTGAAATCCCTCCCTGCGACAAAACGTCGGGAGTAGTTACGCCAGATCTTGTTAAATCACTCGGCGTTGTTTTCCAGACGATCCGCTCTTCTATTTGATTGACTGTAGTCAAGTCGTAATTTCCTGCCATATGGTGCCTTCCTGCTGAGAATCTCAAATGCTGCCCGTGCACTCTCGACGTTGATGAACTCAGCGTGAACAAAGCCTCTGAAAATGCCAGTTCGACGGTCCACAGATACCCGAACGTCAATCACATTGACAATATCCCTGAAGAGTTCATTGATATCCCGATCAGTCATCTCGAAGGGCATGTTGCCGATATATATCGTTCTAGAGACAGGCCTCAGGTTCCGATGCTGGTCGATATTGTTTTGCGCAAATGCCACAACGACTCGGCGACCCTCGTATACCCGCATGTGCATCGCATCAATTGCACGTCTCGCCGAATCTATGGCGTCGAACTGCACATAACCGAATCTAATACCCAGAGTTAGGAAAAGCCATAATTATTTTCCACATGTGCCGAGGGAAACCCGCACTCACCCTTTACTAATTCCCCTATTATCAAAAGTGATATACACACTCTCCACAATTCCGTATTTCTCCATCTGCTTCCGCAAATCATCCGCCGTCACATCGTAGAAAAGATTGCCGACAAAGACTGTCTCCTTGGGATCGGGTTCCTTGTTCAAAAGCCGGACACGCTTCGCGCGTTTAGATTCTTCTTCGGTAGATTGTGGTTGTGCCTCAATCTCTTTTGAAATATGGTCTGCAGTCTCGTTCGCAGGAGTAGAGGTACCTTCCATGTACCCGACAGCGGCTTGTATTAATTGTTCCTCGTTATCATTTGTGGCTGCTGCATCCTGGCTCGTAAGATTAGGTTGCCTTGGTACATGTTTGCTGTTCCATCTGCTCTGCAGCAGAAATTGTGATGTCTGGCGAGGGATAGTAATTCGAGACGGGCTAGATGAAGTAGCCCATGTGGACCGTGGTGTCGAAGAGAGGAGCCGAGAAGCAGCGCGCCGGAAGCAGTGCCTAAGAAAAGTATAGGTTAACGACACATATTTCGCCTTGCTTTTTTCGTAACTCACATCTTTAGATAACAGACAGCCAGTAAGCCACAAAAATAAATTTGAGATGAGAATTGCACATATGCCCATTCGAAGGTTTTCCGCGCAAAAACCTCCGGCTTATCGAGACCGATAGTGTCACGTGATTTACGCTATCGATTGCCTGATTTGAAGCATACTCCGTAAAGTCTCTAGCAAGTTTTAGAAGATAATTTGCAGCTGTGCAATAGGGAGCGTGTCCTCTCGTACAGGTCTCACATTTCGTGAGGCTCTATATCCTTGTATCTAGAGTGGAATGAGCATAAAAGGAGCTACATAATTCATAACGAATATATACACTGGCGCCGGTGTCCCCTCATTATCTATACCAGAAACATTGACATAGAGACATGGAACATCGCGAATTGAAATGGCAACTGATAAAACAACCAGCGTTATATTTTACAATCCAGTACTAACCAAGACTTCATGGCCACATTAACGTAATTTCCCCATTCTCAAAAAGAAGACAGGTGAACTCTGAGACAGTATTTCACAGGCTGGCTTAACGTGTGCCCGCATTGTTCGTCGGCGAATTATTGTTCTCGTAAACATTGCCATCAGGGTAAAAGACGTTGGAAAAAGAAGGCAACGAGCGCATTTTGTCTGCAGCACTGCCCTGCACCGATGCTAAACCAGCTGAGGCTAACGCATTCTGGGATTGCGGTTGGGGTTGCTGCTGTTGCTGTGGATCCATTGTTGGCCACCACTGGTTCGAGGCATCAAGCGCTGCATTCTGAATATAATTATCCCAGGTGTCCTAGAAATTGGTCAGTCAGGCTTCGAAGTCTTGCATTGAATAAGGTATCTATACCCAATCCAGAGGGAGCTGCATATCTGGCATTTGCCCAAACATAGCACTTAGAGGCGAAGGAGCTCCTGGCATATCTGCCATCGCTCCAAATCCTCCCTGTGACGGGAGTGGTGTCTCGCCCATTTTAATGGCGCCATCGCCAAAGGCGGGAGGAGTTGGGTTCATGGGGCTCATTCCACTACTGAGAAGACCCAACGTCATGGCAGCACTTTGCTTCTCATCCTGAGGCTCGAAGCTAGAAGCGGCGGTATTGCTGTCCGAGTAGCCCAAGTTCAGTCGGGCAAGCATCACCCCAATAGCTCCCGACGCTTTCCACGCCTCCAGGGCATCGTCACGAAGTTCGTCCCAGATCTCTTTAGAGCGTTGTACTGCCGCTATCATTTCCTCGCGCCGCTCCCTTCCCCAGGCGTAGGTATCGCCGGAGGCGCGGCCCCCTGATTGGAATTGGTGTCCGTGGTAGAGGTCGAGAGAGACGATGGTCGCAGCAAGTAGAAAATCTGTAGATACGAGTGCGGTAAGTCTGTCATGTTTGTTCGGGATGCGCGCCACGGTTTCAGCGTGCAGCATTGATTGGAATCGAAGCAATTCCATGGCAGAATCAATACAGGTTCTCCGCGAGTATGTAAATCGAGGATTTTCACGCGCTCGAATGAGGTATCGTCGATGGAGAACACACTGCGCTTTGTGATACACACTCATTATCTAGAAACGGTCAGTAACCCACACTGCAGCTATTCGTCTGAGGTCAACCTACAGCACATCGTGCCATAACTATTTTCGGGGGCTCCAACTGAGACTCTTCGACAGGGCGAACAATAAGATGTTCAGGGATCAAGTCCCTCGCTCGGCGAAGTTCGGCGTCAATCTCCATAACTTGGTCGTAAGATGGACTTTGTATGGAAGAGGTATGCTCAATAACACGACCAAAGGCATATGTTAAGCGACCTTTGGCTATCAAGCATGCGACTGGTGTAGGTTCATTTGGTGGCCGTGAAGGAGGAAGCTCTTTGCAGTTCTCATCAAAGTCATCGTCGTACAAATTCCGTGGAAATTCCGTATCACTATCGGCGGAGCGAATCATGCTGGGTAGGCCCACTTGGAATGAGAACATAAGATCGTACTGCCGCACGATTGTCCATACTCGCCGACGCATTTCACCTTGGAAAGGTGTGATATTGGGAAACATCTTTGAGTCGCGATGGTAACCCATCCTCATAGCCAACCTAGCAATCACGCCTACAAGCACCCAAACGGACACATCGGCATCTTTTGTTTGAATCCAATCTCCATGCAGATGGAATATCAAGGACTCAATCAAACACGGGTAAGGTTTAGTATAATCAGCCAGCGTTAAACACTGCGCCATCAAGTTCCGGAAGGTGCCTGCCATGTCTAGAGTCTTCCCTCGGAACTCCGGTGGTTCATCTCCCTCTCGATGATACGATAGCATGGCAAGTCGCATAATCGCACACAGCATACCAATCCAGACTACACAGGTTTGTGACGGGTCTTCCCAGTGTTTGTTATACTAATGAACAGTTAGTATCAAACATGAACACATATTAAGAGAGAAGTGTTGCTTACTTGGGCCTGAAATGTAGGTCCATGTAGAATATCTAGAAATCTTTCGTGAGAATCATCCCATGGAGATGGAGAGCAAATAAATAGTGAACTCACTGGTTGAGGGGTCATAGCTGTTAAAATACCGGGCGACTAAGATGTCTGTTGTATATTTGGAGGGAAGCGAAGACATGATCTCTGCACGACTAGTTGTTTTCATAGCACCGAAGAGCAATGTGGACCCTGGCACGTCAGTCGGAAGCTTTGTTGCTTTTAGCTTCTCCGCCTGCTCCTCATACTGTTTCTTGTGCGTAGAAAAGTAATTACGCACTTCGGCAATCTACAGTTAACGTTAACACGCAGAACCTAAGTTGATCCTGATGAGAGTAACTTACATCGTTGAGGACAGACGCCCAATGCGCTTCACTAAAATAATATGATTTATTATTGTCGACCTTCATTATCCCAAATGATTTTGTTACTTGTTCTGTATCGCTCTCCTCGGGGCCACCCGAGGCGTCTTCATCCAGATCTAAATCAGTTGTATGTTGGGCAGAACTAATACTGCTGCTGTTGCCAGAGAGTGCTGCCATAGCCGCAGCTGGGCCTGCGGCCTGTGAACCATTGGTCATCAACGACAAAACCAAGCTTTCCAGCCGGTCTATCCTATTTTGCATATCGTCCGGGGAGCTAGGCGATACTCGCTGCGGGGCGTTCTTCTTACGTGCGCTTGCTTGGGCGTAGGTACATGAGGAAGCATCTCCTCGTTTCACGCAGTTCTCACATGGGTGTGCACGGTTACATTTGAGCCTTGGTCGGACTGTCAGAAGATACTCGAAAAGATATCAGAGAGCGGGTACGAATCTTACTTCCTATGTCGGCAGGGGCCACAGGAAAGTGGCACCCGATTTCTCTTTCGGATTACCCTGTACTGTCCTTCAGGCGAAAATGCGCTAGCGTTTGACGAGGTCGTGGATGGCGGGGTTGGAGACATATTGGTGAGCGTTTTCTCAATAAACAAATGCGACGATAAACTTGGGTCGAAATTGATTGCTTCGAATACACACTGTCCCTAAGCGGACTGGCGCAAGACCACAATGTAATAGAGCGAGCTGCGAGCAACGCTTGGAGTCCCTATTGTTTTGGACTCCCTCCAGCGCAGAGTGTCGCTGAACTACCCAATGACAATCGTACTGCTATAATCCTCCAGTTGAGAGCTCACCCCCAGTATCCCTCTTAAGTATGATGTAGCGCCAGAGAAGACTGACGTACGTCCAACGGTCAATTAGGTATCGCTAGGATTCCAACGCAATGGAATCAAACGGTTGTGGTAGGGAATCGAGGTGCACGACGCTTTGCTGATGCCTTCAGCCACGTTTCAGTGGTCGAGTCCTTAGCAACCCAGATCGAAAAGCGAATCAAGCGGGAGGCGATTCTGGAGGGAACTCGTCGCGGTTTTACCCAGCAAAGAGCCCACAGGCGTAAATTGCGCAAGATTTTTCGATTTTAAATATTGGTACAGATGGGAGTTTCTGTGCTCCAATTTGAGATTCGCACAAATCGCAAGCACAACTCGAGAAGGAATGGGTGAGAACGGTCGAGAAGAGGGGCCAATTTATAGGCGACTAGTCAATCTGCCGCGAAGCTTGTTGGACCAAAGACGTCGGGCGGGCAGGCGATACTTATCAGGATCCTTCGGAGTCAGTGGGAAAGTCGCAAGAGAGTCTGCACAAGATACCTTGGGTGCCTGGCAAAGGCCTTCGAATGTTAAAGAGAAGAAGCGGAAGACATACTAACACGAACACTCCCTTCCCGTCGATACCTTAAGCTTTTGCTTAGTGAGAATCATATGAAAGTATATGTATGGTAAGTTGCAGGCAAGAGTTATCTCCGTTATCACCCTGTCACGGGTTGGGTCTGCTCACTCTTCTGGAATGATGAGCAATGATTGGACGAGGTCTTTATGTAATACATGTGGGGCGGATACTGGCCGAAAAGGGAAAACAAAGACAGGCCGTCTAAGGAACATCCCCAGCTCCATTTCTATCATTTTCTGCTTTTACAGAGTATTTACCTTTGCTTTGTATATATTCCGCCTCTGTAACTAAGTACGAAGATATCTTGAAAATCGTGTAGGGCATTGTACTGCATCTGTCTGATACGAAGTTCAAATCGTAAACCATGTTTGCCAGAATCTAGACTCACGAAGTTGGCTGATCTGCGGCGGGCAAAGAACGATCTTATTTGCCAGTGAATATTTGAATGTGGCTGAGACGGATGAGCTTTGAGTCATTGTGGACGTTAGTTTAAGTTTAGTTCCTTCAAAAATTCACTCCAAAGTTCTTTTCCATGGAAGGCTGGCTCAGTTGGGTACAGCTGTCAAGTGGAGCCACGGGTTCAACGGAGAACTGTATGTATTTATGTCCGTACAGCTTCATACCGATATAAATACAGCCAATTTCCAAGCCCTATGTAAAAGAACTTAATACCTCACAGAAGCGACAAGCAATTATTATAGTTCAAAATTGCCTTCCTTCTATAATATTGAACAGCTGCGATAACCTCCTACTTGACTACAATGAAACTTAAATATAGCAAAGACACAAACACCCTTTATAAGAGAAAACAAAGCGTCATTTGCCCAGAGAGGTACCGCTGGAAAATACCCGACCCTTCCTGGTGATGTACAGCTCCTTTTGGCGCTTCTGAATGGATTAACAGCAGTAGGTAGCCGTTTGTTCCACTCCCAAACGACCACCCAGCAATCATTCCCAAGTACTACTCTGTAAGTATGCCTTACTGCCCCCTCCTAGAGGTTACTCCCTTCTCATTGGAACGCCACCTGCATCCACGAATGGGCGGCCATAATACTACCTAGTAGTACCACCCATGTAAAGCGGGAACAGCCTTCTCAGTGAATGGATAACCTGTTGTCACATTATGGACAAGGCGCCTTGAGGGTGGGGCATAAGACGTACTAAATCCCCCCCAAGAGCACTCATCCATCAACTTTAATCCCTAATTTTACTTGCTCCAACCGCTAGCAGCTACCGTATTTTCCTTTTTTACTTGGATGGCTCCCGTCCGTTTCTGAGCGCCTCCCCTTATCGACGTCAAGTGATAATGTCTTCACAAAGAGGTGATACGCAACGGGGGCGGGGCCGAGGGGGCGACCGTAATAGAGGACAAGGCGACAGAGGTGCCAGTCGTGGCGGTCGCGGAGGTGGTCGTGGATCCACCACGGAGTTGCCCATCCGTCAGGGTCCGCCAGGGGGAGATTTCAGAGGTCGTGGTCGTGGAGGAGACCGAGGACGTGGAGGAGATCGGGGACGCGGAGATCGAGGACGCGGGAGAGGTGATAGAGGACGAGGTTCGTTTAGAGGAGGTCGTGACCAAGGCCCCAGGATATATACGTCAGTTCCTGCCCAAGAATTCATCCTCATCGCTTTAGCATAAATGCATACTAACGGTGGATCTTCTTTGTAGAAGTCCAGGAGGGCAGGTTCCTCCCCCAAGTCCCCAGGTTCTGAAGACTGAGGATACCTTGGCCGCAGCACTAGCAGTGAAGAAAACCAAGCCAACCGAGTACCCCCAGAGACCCGGTTATGGTACTCGAGGCCAGCCAGTAACGCTGTATGCCAATTATCTTGACTTGAAGTCGGCTGGCGCGCAACTGTTGCGCTACCATGTTGAGATCTCGCCCGATTCAGCGACCAAGAGGGCCCCGGCGGGCAAGAAAGCCCGGCAGATCATTAAACTCCTGATTGAGCAGAATTTCTCCGAGTCGAGTAAGAATATTGTTACAGATTACAAGTCTACTTTGATCGCCAACCTCAAGATACTCGATAATGAGGAGATACATCAGTACGATGTTCGTTATCGCAGCGAGTACGATGACGAGTATCCCGAGAATGCAATGGTCTACCGAGTTACGTGCCAGTTTACAGGAACACTCAGCCCTGCTGAACTTCTAGCTTACTTAACATCGACGAATCCCGATGACCAGTTTGGTTCTAAGGCGGAAGTGCTTCAAGCAATGAACATCATCCTTGGAAACCACCCGAAAATACAGGATTGGATTGCTTCCGTTGGCGCAAACAAGCATTATGCCATTCGTGGGGACTTATGCGAGAAATGGGAACTCGGTGCTGGGCTTGAAGCTCTTCGGGGATTTTTCATCAGTGTCCGTGCAGCTACTGCTCGCCTTTTGCTTAACATCCAAGTCAAGTACATCGCCTGTTACCAGGAAGGACCGCTGAGCTATGTGATAAAAGAGTATCAACGTGTACACCGTGACGTCAGCAACCTCAGGCGATTTTTAGTGAAGCTGAGAGTCAGAGTGACACATATTCAAAGGAAAAACAAACGGGGAGAGATCGTTCCAAGAATTAAAACGATCGCTGGTCTGGCGACTATCAAAGATGGTGCGTCGCAGGCAAACCCCCCGAAAGTACCCAGATACGGTGCGGGACCCAAGGAAGTAGAATTCTTCCTAGAAGCCCCTGGCCAACAGCCATCCCAGAGCGCATCTGGCGGTGCCAAAGGCAAGAAGGGCAAGAAACCAGCGAAGGCAGGCCCTGCACAGGCCGGCGGATACATCAGTGTGGCCGATTTCTTTCATCAGCGTAGGTGCTCCTTGCCGATGTACCAAGAGTATAGGACTGACAGGCTACAGATTACGGTACGAATGCAGATCCTAACTTGCCTGTGATCAATGTCGGAACAACGGAGAATCCAAGCTACTTACCCGTCGAAGTCTGTGAGGTTGAGCCAGGTCAGCCTGCAAAAGCAAAGCTCTCTCCAAACCAGACCAGAAACATGCTGAACTTTGCCGTCCGCGCCCCCCCGCAGAACGCTGCATCTATCGTCACGACAGGTACTCGATTGCTTGGCCTCTCTCCACAAAGTCCTACCCTTGTAAGTGCTTCGAGTGATACTTAGCCTACCGCCTGTGCGGCCACCAATTGACCTGAGTAGGCGAACTTTGGCATACAGCCAGGCTGTAACCTCATTACTGTCCCAGGTCGGGTGCTACCAGTACCGAATGTATACTACAAAGATGCTTCAAGGCAGTCGCAGAAATCAGTGACGGTGAAGCCGCAGTTTGGCAGCTGGAATATGAGATCGATCAGGTTTTCGACATCGACCAATCTCCCAGTCTGGACTTGGCTCGTGATAAACACCAATGGGCCCAGACCAGCCTTCGCTCGCCCGGAAGACTTCACCAATGCCCTGAGAGGATTCACAGACAAACTGAACGAGATGGGCGTTGCAGCACAGCGAGCCTTCCAGGGTGAAACCATAACTGTTAACAAAGACAATTATGAGGCCGAAATCACGGCAGCAGTTGAGCGACTCGTGAAAATGAAACCCTCCTTGATCCTCTCGGTCCTGCCGTTCAGCGATGCGGATTTGTACAACTGTATCAAAAGAGTATGCGACTTGACACACGGCGTGCGGAACATCAACGTCCTGGCTGAAAAATTCCGAGACGCAAACCCCCAATACTTCGCAAACGTCGGACTAAAGGTCAACCTGAAATTAGGCGGTGCCAACCAAGTCCTGGATTCAAAAGAACTTGGCCTCATCGGACAAGGCAAAACAATGCTCGTCGGCATGGACGTCACCCACCCATCCCCCGGATCATCCGCGGACGCCCCCAGCGTCGCAGGCATGGTCGCCTCCGTCGACGCAACACTGAGCCAATGGCCCGCAGAAATCAGAGTACAGAAGTCGCGTGAGGAAATGATCCAAGACCTAGGCGACATGCTGAAAGCCCACCTCGGGCGCTGGGCCCGCTCACACAAGAACGCCTACCCAGAGAACATCATCGTGTACAGAGACGGCGTATCAGAAGGCCAGTACGAACTAGTCGTCCAAAAGGAGCTCCCGCTTCTCAAGAACGCCTGCAAAGAGACTTACCCAGCCAGCGCAACAAAGCAAGGCCTCCCGCACATCTCCATCTCCATCGTCGGCAAACGCCACAACACCCGCTTCTATCCAACCCAGGAAGGAGACGCAGACCGCTCGGGCAACCCCAGTAACGGCACCATCGTCGATCGCGGCGTCACCGAGGCCCGCAATTGGGACTTCTATCTCCAGGCTCACACGGCGCTGAAGGGCACCGCTCGTCCCGCCCACTACTTCACTGTCTGGGACGAGATCTTCTGTCGACAGCGACCTAGTCCCCCGTATCAGAACTCCGCGGATATCCTAGAGGCTCTAACGCACCATATGTGCTATCTCTTCGGTAGAGCTACCAAGGCTGTTAGCATCTGTCCACCGGCGTACTATGCGGATCTGGTCTGTACTCGGGCGCGTTGCTACCTCAGTAGTACTTTCGAACCTTCTGCGGCTGGAAGCGTGGCCACGGGTAGTGGGCCGGGCCTTAAAGTCGGAAACGCAGATGTGCGAATCCATCCTAATGTCCAGGACACCATGTTCTACATATAATTCGGTGCGGTTGGATAAACTGCAAAATAATGACCATCTACTATCGTAAGATGTTGGGACGATTAGACCGCATTGGAAGCGATGTTAAAACCACATGATCTGGATATCTTTGTTTCGGGCTTACATCCATATGACATGTTATTCTTTCGTTGAATATATGAGCATGTAATCAGATTGATAGCGTTAACATCTCATTATCGAATCTATTCTTTATGAATCGTACACAATCCAGATTGCCATACTGGTAACATATCAAGTAAGCTAAATGGAACGCAGCAGACAAGGTGGTAAGAAAGTAGGTAAGAAAGATACAAGAAATGAATACAAGTATTGTTCGAACAAAATAGACAATTTAGAAGTAAAAAAAGTCTTCCATGGGTCCAAGTCGCATTGGGCAAGGTTGTCACCATGATGACGGCTCGAAGTGCTGCTCGATGGGATTATTCGGTACTGTCGTCAAAGGGTTCGGGGTTCACGGTTCACGGTACTGAGGGCCAGTTTCTTATCAATCGCTTCACTCATTATGGCCAAGGCTCCAGCTTCTCTCGTTGACACTTCGCAATTGGCGGCGCTGTGGAGGAGGACGAACGGTCTTGCTCGGCTGCGGAGATTGATCATAGGATTCCCATGACGGCTCCAACATTTTGACTGCCCGCTGTCGGTCCGCCGCGATGGGCTTCTTGTTCTCGTCGGCCTTGCTTTTCGCTGGTGATTCATCTGTGATGGTCCAGTGAGTCTCGAGGTCCTTATTGCGGGATGGGCCTTTCTGGGCTACGGACTTATCCTGGGACGACGGCTTGGCGGGCTCGTCTTCATCGCCGAACAGGTGGTTCTTGTAAAGGCTGAGGCCCTTGTTCTGAAACGAACTGATTATTCGGCCTGAACTCTGATCGCCGGTATCATCTGTCAACTTGAAGTGGGTTTCCGCATCACGGCGGCTTTGGACGCGAGGCTTGGCTGAGGGTGTCTCTGGCTCCTCGTCGCTGATACCGAAACTACGAAGCTCTTGGCCCCGGAGCTGGCGTGTAGGCTTCTCAGGAGTCGAGAAGTCCTCAAATTTCCACTGGGCTCCCTTGCCCTGGCTCGACACTGGGCGCGAGACCTTCGGTTTAATCTCACGGTTACTGTTGTCCGCGCCCAGCTCAAAATGATCGAAGCGCTTGGGGTGAGCCCTGTAAGCGATCGGCTGGGGCTTGTCTTGGGCAGCGACGGTCTCGTCATCATCAAAGATGCGCGAAGCCCGGTAGTTCTTACCCGCACCGACCTTGGGAGCGACCGGCGTGGCGCTGGAGGAGGATGGTCCAGGAATATCGATATCATCGTGATTTCCGAAGAGCTCACCCAGATCGCGCTGGGGAGGCTTAGCGGATGCTGGAGCACGAGGGGCACGCACTGGTTCCGCTCGGTCCTTGCCAGGGGAGAGAAGTTCTTCCAGAGACTCTGCCGCGTACGGGTCCTTGATGCGTCTCTTAGGAGAAATAACTTTGTCGTATGTGTCGCCATTCTCTTCGGGCTTGTTCGCGGGCGCGGGCGTGGGCACGGGCGCTGGGGCATTATCCACCGGCGCGGAGGAAGCGGCGGTCTTGATCAATCTAACCTGATCTTTTGCATCGCGAATGGGCCAACCGCGACTGCGCGAGCCGATCACTTCGACCTGTTTCAAAAGCGACGCTTGGTCCCAGTAGACCTTAACCTGCTGAATTTGGTTCTGGGAGTTGAAACGAACGATATGAACCTGGCAGTAGCACAATCAACCAATTAGATGACAAGTCTTCGGATTATCAGATTGCGACAGAGTAACAATGGGAGGCACACCGTGGGGAAAGTCGCAATGCGGTCGGACAGGAAGTTATCGTCCAGCGCGGGGAGATACGGTCCGCCACCAGAGACAAATTCCACGGTGGTGTCTACATCTAGAGACAGGGAGTTCAAGCCTTCGACCGTATCAATCACCTGCTGGGACTTTCTTTTGAGGATATGATCCTGTCTGGCGAGGTGCTTGACCACGGCCTCGGCGCCATCAATCCTGGTGGTCGTGGTGATATAGATCAGCGCAATATCGGAAGCCAGGGAAGCAGACCTGGGGTCAGAAAGGAATTTCTGGTACACGTCTTGGAGAGACATGATTGCTACGTTTCGAATTGAGAAGGTCAAACGAGCGTCAATGATAATGTAACCAGCAGAGAATGGGGAGAGTCAGGGGAAGGATCCAATTGGAGAAAGAATGGTGGTTCCTGAGGTAGGATCGGTTTGTCGCAAAGGGGATCGCAAACCACACTTGCCGCCTGTGGCTCACAACAACAACAAGTTTAGCTGCTCCGAGGAATGGAAACAAAGAAATACTGGAATGACCGGGAAGTTTGATTAATTTCGGAGTGAAAGTTGGAGTGGTGGAAATAAGTGGATTTTATTTCAGGAGGCCTGTGGTGGCTTTTTTCATTATTTACCAAGTCGTTATTATTAGATCTTCGATGTATGTACGTATTCACTATCATGGACGGGTTCTTTTCGCTTGCAATGCAACCACTCAATATAGTCGAGGCTTTGGATTTACATGACTGCTTCTCCGCTTCCCCAATGGCATTCACTCTTCCTGCGAGTGGAGGATGTGGCCCTTCCTCGAAGTCCAGGTTAGACAGGGACTATCGTAATAAACAAGCAGTTGTTTGACTCGGGGAAATTCAGCGCACGGAAGACGCACCAGTGTTTCACCATCCTCCAATCGGGTTTAGTGGAAACCCTCGGCGGTGTCTCTCTGGCAACTCAATGATACATCAAGCATACCGAAACGTACCCTCAGCATGAGTACTAGTACGGAGTACTCCGTATGTACGCCCATGGTGAAATACAGACGCACTGGTAATTTACCTACCATTGTAGATTCAGAGAAGAACATACTACTAGTATACAGGGTTACATCCCAGGCATCTCTAGTAGTTGAAGCTTGTTTGGTGTGAAAATAAAAAATGGCCATTTGCAGGTACTCCGTCGTTCAATCTACTTGGGGACATATATATTCATCCTCGGGCCTGAAGGAATCCATGGCACATAAACTCTATCAAGTAAGAACCCATCCTGCAGTGGTTTTCCCCACCTCTAAACTCTATCTGAATATTCAATCGTTGATATTGCCCGTGTACTAGGGATCTAGACGTAGCAATTCTGATCAACTAAAGCGAGAGTCCACGGATATATACATGTCGACGTTAGACGAACAGATGCCGTGCCATCTACACCTGGTACACCAGCCGAACTTTTTCGAGTCCCGTATGGAGTTGATGGTTACTTCTTGATAGGAGATGCCTCGGGGGCAGTAAAGTACACTTCGCATAAATCTCTTTTCTTGCTTTTCCATATACTTACATGTTACTGACGCCTCACATGCTTGTCCGAGACTGGCATCCACCTCCCATGACAGCATATCTACGGAGGTCCGTGATGTCCTCGTGCTCTATTTCAGCTCACCAGACAGGCTGCACCACCTGCTGTTTGTGTCTGCTGACCAGCAGCGCTCTTTCATCGTCGAGGGACGTGAGAATGTCTTCTCATCTGAGAACGAACATATAACAAGCTGGACACACTGACTGAGTGTCTTTTGATCAAGCAATGATTGTACCCCCTCGGGACACTTGCTCCTTTCCCGTAATCCCCTTGTATGATGGTAGAAAAAGCAACAGAATCTTTTCAAGCGCTTGCTGGCGGTAGGATTGGTATAATCATTAGATGCGATAAAGGTATCTTCTCGTCGAAATTTTTTACAGTGGTCTATAATAGACAAATGCGTATCAGTCATCTTCCCTGAAAAGAAATTGAATGAACAAAAAATGAGGGTCGAAAGTCACATACCCTAAGTAGTCTTCTTTAATGGTTCCAATAGCATTGATTGCGGCGACATCTGGCTTGACACCAAGGATCTTGAGTCGTAGACTTGTCCCTTTCTCAATTACCTGGTCCGCGTGATCTGTGTATTGAGGAGGCACTGTGTTTGGTTCCCACTTGATATCGGAAGGAATGTTCTTGCCAAACTGTTAGTCCCAATATATAAGGTTTCCAGACCCTATTTAACAAACTCACCTTGCGCGCAATGAAGACCGACAGTGGACCCGCTAATGTGAAGATTCCGGTGGGCTTAACAGACGTAACGATGGCATCGACCTACGAGCGCACTGTTAGAATTGAGAGCAAGAATTGGGTGCTCGCGCTCTTCACGACATACGGTCTCTCCACGGAACGGCTTCCAGATAATAGCTCGGTATTTAATTGTGTACTCGGCTTGCCCGCTGCTAGGTAGAACTCGGCCTTCTCCAATATCTACCATGTCCATCACACAAATCACGAAGTGATCTCCCGTACACCGTCCTTCCTCCTCCTCGTTCAGCCGGTTTATCAGGTACTCTCGCACATTAGGCCCAAAATAGGACGGGTGCAACGTGATAACCTTGGTCTCTTCCTTGAGGAAAAACATGTCGCAAAGATTTGAACCCACGCGAGAAGCGAAGAAAAGAAAGAACTAGCAATCAAATCAAGTATCAGGTCAACAAGCTTGTCCCAATGTGTTCGACTTCAATATTTGGCGGGCGGGGTAGGATAGGTGCTCCTCAAGGTAGATCGGGTGTTTGCAAGAAATCGCTGGAAGAATCCGAAGCAGGCAGACGAAGACAAAACCGTAGCGAGTGCGACAGCAATTCAGTTATGACGTTGTCAAAGCTTGCGATCGAAGGTCAATGACAGAACATCAGCAGCTCATGACAACAATAGCAATGGAAACCTTGCCCCCGACCGAGATAGTCGACGAAAGAGTGCGAGCCTAGAGTGCGCAAAAGGCTGAAATATTAAAGGCAAGAAAATCTACCTCCAGAGGAAGGTGGGCGTGAGCGCTGATTGTGAAGAATCTCCAGTCAAGCAATCATGACATTGAGCCTGTGGCCGACTCCAGCATCAGCTGCGCGCAGTCACCTGATCTGGCAGGTCCCTAATAACATCAAAAATACATCAATACCATACGCCGGGCATAACTGCCACAGACACTGCTGCATAAAGCGACAATGGCATGACAATACATTGTAACGGTCCCCGTATCCTCGGCATTCGACTCCCCAGCACATGACGTTTGTCTGGATTACTTTAGGAGACTTACTACGAGGACTAACGGAGTAGCGCATTGGAAAATGTCTGATTCTCCACCTCTTGGCTGGCCTGATCAGGCATAATCCTTATCCAGTCTAACTGGCAGAAAAAGGGTCTCCTGTATGGTTACCTTCAAGCATCGACAATTTCCCTTCGTGGAGACGACAAACCATCGGGTCTAATTACCAATATGGCTCTGAACCTGGAAAAGCAGCTCCTTTTCGTGAGTGCTCTTATCTGCACTTAATGCATTATGATATGCTCGATGATTGGACCACAGCTTACGTTTTTAGTATGGTGCCTACCATTCCAACCCAGTACTTTGCCCTCTGTCTCTACCCCATATGCGATTCTGATCGCTCATCGTTTTGCAGGTAAACGTCGCAATTCATATTACATGTGTGCCGATACTTCTGTTTACCGGAATTGCCCTGGTATGCTTTATTCCCCTTACTTCCGGCAAAACGTCGTACTTACCATTCGCGATGATCAGGCATCGAATTCTCCGGCCCTCTTCAACCTTCCTGATGTCCTTCGTTTCGAGCACCTGCCCCTCAACCTCGGCACCATTGGAGCGTTAATCTATTCGACATTCTATATTCTACTGGAACCGGTTGCTGGGGCCCTGATCGCACCAATTATCATTGGTGGCGCGGCGTTCGCAAACCACCTCCTGACTACCTATGGCACGGATATGAACTACTGGTTTGGTGGAATTCATGTTGCGTCCTGGTTGCTCCAGTTTGTCGGTCACGGTGCATTCGAACGTAGGGCACCGGCTTTGCTGGACAACCTGGTCCAGGCGCTCCTTCTTGCTCCGCTTTTCGTTTGGATGGAGATCCTCTTCTTCTTCGGTTATCGCCCAGAACTGAAGGCGAGGTACGACCAGAGTGTTCAGAAGGAGATTGCTGGCTTCAAGGAGAAGAAGAATAAGGGCGGCAAATAAATTAGCCACGCTCGATCCCGAGAGAACTACGGGGCTTATTCTAATAAGTAGTTGGGTAATAATAGCTGTCTTCGAGATGGCATCGATATCAACTGAAAGTGATTGCAGCTGGTTGCTGCGGTGGGATACCTGGAATTATTGCAGATGACTAGAGATTGATTGCCTTATAGGGCAGGCTGTCTAATATTGTTACTTTGGGATAAAGCGCAGCGAAAACGTCTTCCAAATTTAGCGGTTGCGTTGGTTCAGATGACATAGAGGTGCAGACGTATCGTTTGTACGGGCAGCTCCGAGCCGGTGAACGTTTTCAAGCGGTGTACAGATTGTTTGGGAAATGGAGAGGAAAGGAAAATTACTGGTTTAAACAAGGACGTGAAAGGCCCGCGAAAATTGGATCCTCCAAATATCAGAGAGATCCAACAATTTCCTAGAATAGTACAGAGTAGTTAGTTAATGGCGGATCCATATGTTTGTTGGCAGGGTCGTCGTCCAGGCGGTTGCTGTGACGAAAATGAACGGGAATGAGTAAGCTGGACTCAGTTATCCGCAGATCCGAGAAAAATACCAGCGAAAATTGAGATGGCCAGGTGGCCCGCAGGGAAACCGTCGGGTACCCGGAAAACCCAAAATCATTCACCAACGTCAACAACATGGGGGGAAAGACATCAGAATGGAAGACCTAAATATTTAGACCCTCAGAATTAGAGAAAAGAAAAAACAATATTTTTATATCGAACCGTTCCGAGTCTACGGGCGTAAGATCGATACGTCAAAGTAACGATGTTTTCTTGGGGCGGGTGGGTGTCCCGTGAACGCACTAGGGCGGCTTCGGAGGTTGCTGAGGCTCGGCAAACTGGGTTTAGTGGCAGTCCTGAGAATCCTCCCAACCCCGACGACAAAGCTCTCCTTCCATCCATCCACAACCCTCTCTCCTCTTCCACCTCCCCCCAATTACATCTCTCTTTCAGAGAAACCACTCTCCCACTCCTCTGAACCCCATTCACAATGTTCAGAAACGCTTTGCGGCAGTCTAGCCGCACCGTTGCGGCTGCCACTGCTACTGGCAGGATCGCTTCGGTGAGTCCTATCCCTACCTGCATCGACGACATCACTTCAATTTCGCCTATGCCATCTCGAAAGTCATCTCAATGTGACTGTCAAGCACATGGCCTTGGATCGCAATACATTTTATCCTGTTTTGACGCGTTGTGGTCGACGTGTTCTGATGTTAACAAATTTTGCTTCTCCCTTTAGGTCCGCGCGGCTGCTCCCGGTCCCGTCTCTGGCGCTGCTAAGCAGGTCCGTTCCTACGCCGCTGAGGCCAAGGCTTCTCCCACCGAGGTCTCTTCCATCCTTGAGCAGAGAATCCGCGGTGTTCAGGAGGAGGCTGGTCTTGCTGAGACTGGACGTGTCCTTTCCGTCGGGTATGTGGTCAATTCGTCTCAATTGAAAATTCTGGATTCAGCAACAACACCATCGAAAGTCATCGAAAACCTCGATATAAACAATAGCACGAATATCTAGAATACCCATGACTGATTCGATTTATCCAACAGTGACGGTATCGCTCGTGTCCACGGCATGACCAATGTCCAGGCTGAGGAGCTGGTTGAGTAAGTAGATTTGATATCCAGGTTTGCACTCGAAAATTGACTAATGATGATCAGGTTCGCCTCTGGCGTCAAGGGCATGTGCATGAACCTGGAAGCCGGCCAGGTCGGTGTTGTGCTTTTCGGTTCCGACCGTCTCGTCAAGGAGGGCGAGACCGTCAAGCGTACTGGAGAGATTGTGAGTAGTAGTCTTTCGATACTAAACGGTGAGAAGTGGAAAAAATACTTATACTACTCACCAGGTTGATGTCCCCGTCGGCCCTGAGCTTCTCGGCCGTGTCGTCGACGCTCTGGGTAACCCCATTGACGGCAAGGGCCCCCTTAACACCAAGGCCAAGAGCCGTGCTCAGCTCAAGGCCCCTGGTATTCTGCCCCGTCGTTCCGTCAACGAGCCCGTCCAGACTGGTATGAAGTGTGTCGACTCCATGGTTCCTATCGGCCGTGGTCAGCGTGAGTTGATCATCGGTGACCGTCAGACCGGTAAGACCGCTGTCGCCCTTGATACCATGCTGAACCAGAAGCGTTGGAACAGCTCTTCCGACGAGAGCAAGAAGCTCTACTGTATCTACGTTGCTGTCGGTCAGAAGCGTTCCACCGTTGCTCAGCTCGTCAAGACCCTTGAGGAGAACGATGCCATGAAGTACTCCATTGTCGTTGCTGCTACTGCGTCCGAGGCTGCTCCTCTGCAGTACCTTGCTCCCTTCACTGGCTGTGCCATGGGTGAGTGGTTCCGTGACAACGGCCGCCACGCCGTCATCATCTACGATGACCTTTCCAAGCAGGCTGTCGCCTACCGTCAGATGTCCCTGCTTCTCCGTCGTCCCCCCGGTCGTGAGGCCTACCCTGGTGACGTTTTCTACCTGCACTCCCGTCTCCTTGAGCGTGCCGCCAAGATGAACGAAAAGCACGGTGGTGGTTCCCTCACCGCTCTGCCCGTCATTGAGACCCAGGGTGGTGATGTGTCTGCCTATATCCCTACCAACGTCATTTCCATTACCGACGGCCAGATCTTCCTGGAGTCCGAACTTTTCTACAAGGGTATCCGTCCCGCCATTAACGTCGGTCTTTCCGTCTCTCGTGTCGGCTCTGCTGCCCAGGTCAAGGCCATGAAGCAGGTTGCTGGTTCCCTGAAGCTGTTCTTGGCTCAGTACCGTGAGGTTGCTGCCTTCGCTCAGTTCGGTTCCGATCTTGATGCCGCTACCAAGCAGACCCTCAACCGTGGTGAGCGTCTCACCGAGCTTCTTAAGCAGAAGCAGTACTCCCCTATGTCCGTCTCCGACATGGTTCCTCTGATCTTCGCTGGTGTCAACGGTCACCTCGACAACATCCCCGTCGCCAAGATCCTCCAGTGGGAGTCTGACTTCCTTGCTCACCTCAAGAGCAACAACCCTGAGGTCCAGGAGGCCATCGAGAAGGAGGGCCAGGTCAGCAAGGAGACCGAGGCTTCCCTCAAGGAGATCATCCAGAGCTTCAACAAGTCTTTCAACGCATAGGTGAGCAAAAGGCAACTTGGGTGATTAGCCAACCGTGTATTGTTTTTTCCTGACTCTATGTGTATAGACAAGATTAGCTTGTACAATTTGAGACCACAGTTTTCTTTTCTTTCCACCGAAGCCTCGGGTTGGTTGAGAAACAGTGAGGGTGTATCATGGGAGTCCTTCATGTGTAACAGCCCGACCTATAAGTAGCTACGAGGGAGGACAGAATAGTTGTGGGGGTAAAAAACTCAAAGCTACGAATTAATATCCTGTACGTTTAGATCCTTTCGCGCACCTGGGGAATGAGATATGAAAGATCAACTGTATGCGTCTCATACCCTTTGGCGCATCATCCTTATTCTCTTTCAATCCACGTTCCCATCCTCCATGTATGCAGCCTGAATATGATTTCCTTTGTTTGCCCATTGTCTGGTGAAATTGTTTGTAGAGTTCTGCGTGAGAGATCGGGAAATGTATCAGGGCTAGACGTATAGTGAAGTGGCGCCTTGGTATGTTCTCGTCCTCTCAGTCAAACCAGGTGCCTTTTCTATAGGTAGTGTTTCCTAATGTTTTCTCCCCACTTCGATATTGCCTTGCTAATCTGCAGCGGGATGTACTACGTATAGGAGCAGTACCGTGGACCCATGTGCGCACGGTGCGACGGGATTATTTGGCCAACGTGCATGCTGCCCTTCTTAGAATTTCTGCTGATCCACAGCTACTAAATGCTAAATAGATTTAGGCTCATACATGACTAGGAGGGGCTGTCCAAGTTATGTCTACTCTCTCCATGGTGACTCAGTGGGCCGAAAGCGGCCGTCTTTATCGATAAGCGAGCAGTCTTTTCCGTCCCAAAAATTTCTCCATACCCCTCCGCAACAGTCCACTTGACGCATAGCATTGACAACATTCTCGATCTGTTCAATAGCCAATTCCATTGCTACGCAAATGGCTACTTCTTCCGACGCAGCGCCGGCCACCTGCAAGGTTGTGCTCTCTAAGAATGTCGTTGCTAGCCTCCTTTCTGAGGTTCAGGAAGGAGTGAAGACGCTGGAGAAGCCCCCTCACCTGGTGGGATTCTTGGCCAACAATGATCCTGCGGCACTCATGTATGCCCAGTGGACTGAAAAGACTTGCGAAGAAAAGTGAGCATTCTTTCGTACTTACTCCTTTTCGGGGTTGTGCTTTTCAAGCAACCTGCGATCTCGGCGCCCTTGGAGGCAACATGTTGGAGTCACGCTTCGTAGCTAACGTAGTCCTCTTTTTCTGCAATATACAGTGGCTTCCGCTATTCTCTCCGTCAAACTGAGCGCGAAGACCTCGAGGAAGCTATCCTAGCTGCCAATGTCGACTCGGACGTTGACGGCATCATTGTATACTACCCCATTTTCAACAACCGGCAAGACCAGTACTTGCAGCAGCTTGTCGATGTATCCAAGGATGTAGAGGGTCTAAGCCATCGTTACATCTTCAACATGTACCAGAACATCCGATTCCTCGACCCAGAGACCAAGCGACAGAAATGTATTCTCCCTTGCACACCCCTCGCCATTATCAAGATCCTCGAGTATCTCAAAGTCTACAATACGATTTTGCCCTATGGCAACCGTCTTTTTGGACACACTATCTGTGTAGTGAACCGGTCGGAGGTTGTCGGTCGGCCGCTGGCGGCTTTGCTGGCAAACGACGGGGCCTGTGTCTACAGTGTGGATGTGACTGGTATCCAAAAGTTCACTAGAGGTGAAGGTATCAAAAAGCGCAGACACGAGGTCCACGACTTGGAAGGCAAGACACTGAAGGATGTGGTGCCTCTGTGTGATGTCGTCATTTCTGGTGTCCCCGGGGACAAATACAAGTTCGATACTAGCCTCCTCAGAGAGGGTGCTGTCTGTCTCAACTTCTCGAGTGAGAAGGTAAGTGGTTGTCCCAGATACATTTACCTATGTTACAGTGACTGATACCACTACCATAGAACTTCGGACCGGATGTCAAGGAGAAGGCCTCTATCTTTATGCCTTCCACTGGAAAGGTGACAATCGCCGTTCTGCTCAGAAACCTACTGGTGAGTGACGCGCTTTGTGAATTCCTCCGAGGCATCATCGAGCTGACCATTTCCCACAGAGACTCATCCAGAACCGGAGATTGGATGACGTGAAGCCTGCTGAAGCCACCGAGCGTCCAGGCACTCTGGAAGCTTCCACCTAATAATCAATGATGCTTGCTCAATAAATTGGGTTGAGAGATGATGTCACTCAGCATCCGTTCAGGTTATAAAGCTTCTATGCTTATTATCATTCCTATCATCCTTTCTCTAGACGAATTACTATATATATATATGTTTTTTTTTTAAGAAGTTGGTTTGTGCGCGGCCGTCAAGCCGACAAAATGGACTCTGGCCATAATTTAAACCGGTATCCTGTGTTTGTCTGCTTGTTGGAACTCTTGGGATAGTCTCTGGCAGATATAATTCACCACAGATATAAGAATGATGAATGCTGGTCCTTCACTGAATACATCACGCATAAAGTCCCTTTTACACGCTACAAAAACAGTAAAGAGCAATCAAGTGACTTCTGCAGAAACAGAGGAATGCTGGAATACTCCCATATCGTACGTCCAATTGCCAAATTCCAGAATACAGAACCTGGAGCGCTTATCACATTCTCTAGCTGCTCTAACTGACCTTATTTCTCCTTTGCCGCAAGTCGCAGCACCTGGATCTCGCTTGCTAGCCACTTCTTAAGAGGTTCGGGATGAAAAGTTCCATCTGCAGAAAACCATGTTGTGAAAGATGTCTCAATTTCCTTTTCCTCGAGGACCTTGTTCGCAGACGACGTATACTGCACACGGAGCTTATACAATGGAGAGTGTTTCTTCGCGGAGGAGCGAATGGTAATCTAGCCAAATAAGAATCAGCTTAGCACATTTGATTAGTGCATCCCTTGCGATAGCCTACCGTTTCACCGGACTTGCGCTTTCCACGGAATACCTCACCAGCCTCCACCGCCCAGATCCAGTATGTGAGCAAGGTATTCAGGATAAAGTACGAAACCACGGCCGCTATGACCCATGTTGACTGCGTTGCCTCCCATCCTAGCTTGCGATCGGCGTAGAATGTGAATGCTGCAATGGCAACGGCAGAATAGCCTAGTAGGAAGCGGACGTTGGTCTTCGTGTGGTCTTGAGTAAAGGCGTAGGGCTGGGGTAGGGTAGTTAAATGCGGTGCTAGGGCATCGTCTGTTGTTGATTTGAGATCTAGATACGGTCATTAGTAGCCATTAAAATCCCAAGTCACAGTAGAAAACGCATAAATTGTAGGTACGGCGTAAGGTGGTGTTTTCATTTGTGTATCTACTACTAACCATTGACAGAGTAAACGGGCACTTTGTGTACCTCTGTTGACGCCATTTGTACTATGAGTTTTCAAGTAAAAAAAGAGTAATATTAAAATTTCTCAAGAAATCAGAGAGTAATTTAAAGGTTTGGTGGAAACGATTGAGGATGCTTGGTTTGCATAGATGCCAACGAGGAGTTGCGGCGAGCTGGCCCTTTCGAGGAGAGCTGACTTAATGCGATTCGCGCTAGTGAACACCCGCCCCCCCAGTCCAATCTCGTGGGGACCGCAAGCCGGGAGCTCTCTTTTTACCTTAAGCATAGCTAAAATCTACCCATTTTTCATTGCTCTCAGTATTGCTCATCATGGCCTTACAAGGGGTCGAGCAGACGATCCTTCGGGATCCAGCTTTATTGTGAGTTTCTGCAATTTCAATCGAATGAGAAAGAAACTGACTTGAAGGCGATTCGCAGTTATTGGATCCTGTTCCCGATTACCATTGTTATGGTAGGTTTGATCAAACGAATCAGTGCAGCATTACATGCGATACTAACTCTTGCATACAGATACTCACAGGTATCCTTCGTCACTATGCTACGGTTTTGATGAACACCCCCCTAAGCCTGCGTCTACTCTGGCCGAATCCCGCGAGCGTCTCTCACTCCTGCGCGGTGTCAATCTCCGCAACAATGCCCCAGCTGTCCTCTCGAAAGATGCATTTGAAATGCGCAAGAACTATCTTGTCTCTGGGTACCAAAGCGGCGAGTTCCTGAAGGACCCGGCCAGCCGCGGTCAGCCCCCAGCAAATCCGATGACGGACCCTGCGGGCATGGAAGCTATGATGGGTATGATGAAGGGAAACATGATGATGATGATCCCGCAGACTCTTATTATGAGCTGGATCAATGCCTTCTTCTCCGGCTTCGTTATCCGTATGTTTTCGGACTGTTCCGCAATCTACCTTTCGTACTGACGAAGTGTAAAGTCAAACTGCCGTTCCCCCTCACCATCCGGTTCAAGTCCATGCTTCAGTCTGGTGTTATGACTCGGGACTTGGACGTTAGGTGGGTATCCAGTCTGTCATGGTACTTCCTAAACTTGTTTGGTCTTCAGTCTGTATTTGGATTCATCCTGGGTAGCGACAATGGTGAGTCATTGTATTTTTGTTTTCCGGGGTTCACGGTATACAGTCTAACATCTATGCAGCTGCGAACCACATGTCCCAACAAATGGCCACTATGAACCCTGCCATGGGGGCCAATCCATTCCAGCCTGGTCAAGATCCCGACAAATTGTATCAAAGTGAAGCAGAGAACTTGGAAGTCATGGAACATTTTTGCATTCTGGATGGCATTGAGGACAGAATATTGCACAACATTGCTTCAAAGGAGGGCCTCGTTTGATTTGCCATGATCGTACTTGCCCTCGTGTCCTATTTCCTATAAACAACGGGTGTATTCAGAGAACAGTGATATACAGAATTGATGAAACGAGGTAACTTTGACGTATGTTAGGGGCCTGACCAGATATCCGCTTAAAATTCTACTGCATAATGTGAGAAATTATGAAACGATTCTTCAGGAAACAGAACAGTGATATATGTTATTATAAAGACAGGTGCATGCCGTTTCTTGACTCAAATTACACCAGCAAGCGGTTAGATCATTTCTGTATATCTATTCGTCACATCATTATGTACGAGTTGTAAAGCAAGTTTCAATGGTAATTGATCACGCCGTTCAAGATCCATACTTCACCATTGGATACTTGTTCTGCAATACTGTCAACCTCAACATTTCCCGGTTGGATCTAGAATATGTTAGCCCCTAAAGCCAAATCGCCAGGAAGCGGTGGTCGTACAAAGATCTTATCTCCATCTTTTGTCCAGCTCAACTTGTCTCCCCCGAGAGTTTCTACTTCGTCCCCTTCGTTCCAGGGGCTTCTGGGTACTATGTGGGCCTCTACAAAGCGTTTCAGGTTGCTTTTCGCTCGGTCTTGCCCTTCCTGCCCCTCATAGGCCTTTGCCTCTCCGAACTGTGCATAGTCATCCGGATTCTCCCAAGGCTTACGCGGAAGTCCTTGGACTGCACTGTTGCGAGGAGCAAGGACGGTTACATTCTTTGTTGCGTCGTTGAAACGAGAATCGATGGGCTCGAAATCCCTTGTAAGAGAAGCAAAGATATTGATGCCACGGTTTTTAGGAAGAACATCGGATATCACAAGGCCATCACTGCCGGAATTCTGCGGCTGCCTGCTTCCCCCAGTAGTGCCTGTTTCAGGCGGCATAGCGATATTAGGGGTCATTATGGGTTGTTGATTTTGAAGCCACTGCTTCAGTTCACCGTTCTCTTGTAGGCGTTGTTCGTGCCGCAAGTGAGGTAGATCGACAAACGGACGCGGAAGACGCTTGCGAAGAGGAAAACTTGAAGCTATGGATATTGTGCAAACAACCAGAAAGATTAAAAAGATCGGTGCAAAGGCTTGGTGTCGCATTTTGACAAGCAATGATATTATCAATCGAATCGTTCATGCCGGCCAACTAGCCAGTGACCCATGACGCAACTGTAAGTCCCTTCCTATCCTGTCACTGACCCACACGTGATATTGCGGAGGAAGTTCAATACACGTGACATTTATCGATAAGGGCAATCGACAGCCACAAAAAGCGTCATGTTCCGGTCGCGGAGGAGGGGATCGAGCCATTTACCCCTCATTTGAGACGCTCGCGAAGATGTCGGCATTGCAGACATTCCTGCTGGTCGTGGACCATGACAAGGAGGAGGCTAAGCAGATTGCTGAACGAATTGCTCAAGGTACCGCCACTCGATAGATCGTTGTCAAGATGGATGGGTTCTAACTATTGCTGGAAGATGTGGAGACCAAGAAAACAACCCTTATCGAAGTTGTTCAGTCTTTGGGGGAGTACATCAACGATGAGGATCCGATCTTGCGAGGCAAAGCAGTTTCCTATCTTACGGCTGTGATTAAATCACTCCCGCCTAAATTCCTTTCGAGACAACAAATTCAAGTCCTAACTACCTTCTTCTGTGACCGTATCGAAGATGGAGGAGCTGTCGCTGGGCTGGATACACTTCAGAAATTGGATCGCTTCAACAAAGCATTGGCAGAGGATGTAGCGCAAGCGTGAGTACATGCTATATATCTGATCTGCTTGGGGAGAGTTTCGTGAGCGGGTAGCGGACAACTACGAACCGTCGAAGATGGTGACTAAGTTGGGAAATAAGTTGGCTAACATTGCCTAGGATTTTTGAACGTTTTCAAGACCTCCAGTCTCGATCACAATCCCAGAGGTTCCAGGTCTACCAGTTACTAAATGAATTGATGGTAAAGCATCGTTCGGGTGCGTGTTAAAATATTGCGATCCTGTTCTATATTTCAAGCGCTAACAGAGCCTAGCTCTCCACGATATGGGAGAGCACTCGCTGGTTGGAATAGTGGACCTTATGACAGGCGAAAAAGACCCAAGGAACCTCATGCTTGTGTTTTCCATCCTGAAGGTCGTGATGATGGAGTGGGACATCTCCAACCACGCTGAGGTATGCGCTGTAACTCCACTAGGGTTGATGCCAATAGCTAACGGTTGAAGTTACTTTTTGACTCAGTATATAACTACTTTCCGATCACATTCAGACCACCGCCGAATGACCCATACGGCATTACAGCCCAGGATCTGAAAGATCGTCTACAAGAGTGTATTTCATCGACGAGCCTGTTTGCCCCACATTCTATTCCATCTTTGTTGGACAAACTTGACTCGACGTCACCGAATGTTAAGGTAAGATGATCATAGGCTTCTCAAGAAGCATTGCTGACAAGCCTAACAGAAAGATGCACTTAATGCATTGATTGCCTGTATCAACTCTTACGACCCGGATACTGTGTCCAGATATTCTATTACGATATGGGATGCCTTGAAGTTCGAGGTGCTCAATGCCCAGGAGGAGCTTCTATCTGAGCTGTCTTTGCAGGCTCTGCAAGACATTGCCAAGCGATTATCAGAAGGTGTCACGCAGGTCTCTGATCTGTTGCCTCTTGCACAATACATGCGGCCAATTACTAGGGAATGTAACGACCAATTACGAGAGCCACAGCAGAAACAAGCCAAGCCTGCACAGCAGATTCTAGGCTTCATATCCGCGGCGTCCTTTGCATCATTTATGTTGGCTGTACAAGCAGTTGTCGCTCCACTTCTGACGGTCTATCAAGAAGCCGATGGCATCGCTAAGCAAAGGGCTCTCCTGGACACATTGGTGGTTCTTTTTGATTCCGCAATCAAGATTTTCGGTGAATGGGCGACCCGTACCCCTGAGACGAATGCGGAAAACCCTCTACTTGAGTTTAAAGACCAGTTTTCGGACATCTTTGGCCAGGCTTTAATGGGCGTGATCAAGGAAGAGGTGTCATTCCGTGTCTCGGCTCTGAAGGGTTTGTTACGTCTTTCCACCATGCGCAATTTCTTCCAAGATAATGAAGTGGGGTTGTTTGTGCAGTATCTTGACGAAATCCTTCTAAAGGAGGAATCCATAGGCCGAGATGACCTAAAAAAAGAAGCAATCGCGGCTTTGACTGAGATTTCAAAACACAAACCGAGGCTGATCATGGATATCACTTTCCCTGCCTTTGTGGCCACACTTCCTGACTTTGATGATGGGACAAACTCCAATTACCTACCAACACTTGAAAGCCTCGCACAAATAAGTGTCGAGAAGGATATTTTTGAGACATTAGTTCGTCGCTTACTTAGCAAGTTGAATATCTTGCTGCAGAAAGAACAGCCAGGCTCTGTAGCCTACCCAAGGGCAATCCTTATTACGATTCTTTATGTCATGAGCCAGAGAAATATGGATCAAGATCCAAATCTGGAGCTGTACTATGACAAGATAGTGGTTAGCTTGTGCCGCCATGCTGCGGTTTCAGCTTCAGGAAAGGCTAACAACAATGTTTTGAACGATGCTACGGTCCTGGATACGCTTGGAAGACTCTGTAACCTCATTGTCCGGGCGCTTCCGAGAAATAAGCAGGATGAAGTTGCGGAGAGCGTCTATACGCTGTACTCTTCCGCTGACGACTTTTCACCAGTTCCATTTTCGCAATCAGCTAGTGATGATCAGCAGCGTACGATGATTATTTCAACGTATCTCCTTGCAGGGCTCCCGACGGATTGCGCTAATCTCCCTTATACCAGCCCCAACATGTCTGCTTTGCTCTTCGATGTGGTAAAACGGTCTACCACTGAATGCGTACCTGCAACCCATCTTGCGCTCTTGCGCCATCTTGCTCTTTTAGTGAACAAGTTCCTACCCAAGTCCGAATTGAGCCTTGCAGCAGAGTTGTTCGACACTATTCTCCCTGCTAGTGCTGAGGGGAAGAAACTTAGTCCTGAGCCTATCAAAACGCTTTTTTGGCTTTCAAAAGCCCTTATTTTGCGTCTTGCTCCAAAGACAACAGATCTTCTAACCTCTTTGCTGTCGCTTCTCTCATCCCAAGACGAAGTAACCAGTACCACAGCTGCTCGCAGCTTCGCAATTCTCCTTAGGGATGACGACGTGCTCTCCGCCACGAACGGAGCCAACATCCGTCTACTATCGAAACAACGTGTTTTCACGACTCTGGTGCCTCTCATCTCAAGCAAAATCCGCGAAGTCAATGTTGCAGGTAGTGACTCTCCAACCCCCGGGCATATCAAGCCGGCACACTTAACGGCTTTGTCTGGAATTCTATCCACCATCCCCCCTTCTCTGGTAATGCCCGAACTCCCCACCCTCCTTCCTCTTCTCCTCCAAAGTTTGGACCTTCAAACATCGGTTCCCAGTCTGTCCGAACCGCAACCCTCGAGACCCTTGCCGTCATCATTCGCGACAGTGGTGTCGGGGTCATTGAAGAATGCGGCCACATCCAGAGCCTGGTAACCCGCCTCCTCAAAACAGCAGAACATAAACCCGCGAGCGATAAGGCTGCCGCAGTGAACAGTCCCCGACTTCGTGTCGATGCCCTAAAGTGTCTTTTCTTGCTCGCGCAGACACCAGCCTCTGATGCCCCCGCCGTTGCTAAGGTAGGGAAACTATCCCCACTTCTACCGGTAAAGGCACAGGTCGTTCGGGCTTTGGGTTTCGTTCTGGACGACCCGAAACGTGATGTGCGTAAAGCTGCTGTTGATGCTCGAGGTGCCTGGCTCAGGGGTGTGGATGATGCTCCTGATGACGATGAGTAAATGATTTCTACCTTTGTGTGACTCTATATTGGTGTTTCAATTTATATATAAGGGCCTTTCTCTAACCGATTCAGGCTAGAGTGGTGAGGATTGAAAATGCATCTGATAAATAGAAATTTTTCGGGTTCGTCTGCCAAGATTTGGCAAGGGGCACGCATACAGGATACATGCAGATATGGCACAAAAGTGCAAAAGTAGAAAATACATTGTGAAGCGTGAGCTACATTTTTCGAGAGTTCTAAAGTGCACTATGGTTCCGCGAAAGGATATGGTTACCGTGATTCCCTAACAAAAATGCCATTTGATGTTCAACACTTTTAGAACTGTTTGCCTGGATCAAGGCCAACCAAGTTTTGGTGTTTGATTAAGAGATGTAATACTCAAACAAGAGGCTCTAAAGCCGAGAAAGGAAAAAAAAAAATTAGCTGAGATCCACCGGGATCTAAGAGTCAAGCTCCATCGGAATCGTGAAGAGGCTGGCACCCTCAACAATCTCTTCGAGAGGGTACGAACGAAAGGATGGGTATTAATATATACATGATAAACGTATAATAACACTGTGGACACCGTTATAACTGTTTCCAGCTTATAAAGGCGGGGAGAAACGAATAAACTGACGGATGTGAACATGCGTCGATAGGGTTAGTTTACACGAACCGGGTTCGCTCTAATAGTTGAGGTACAAGACAGCGACGACGGCCAGGATCAAGTTAGGCGACCAGTTTCGAAGCGACGCATCGTCTGACTGCGTCTTAGCAGACACGGCACCCTTATTGGAAGGGTGGTTATTACCGGTATTTGGTTTATCATCATGTCTAACGTGTGAGACCGTAGAGGTCGCGTTGTTGCCCTTTGCGATACCCGTTGTCGAGTTATGCGGAGCTGTGTTGAAATCTGGGGAGTCCGGGTCATCATCGGGGCGAGGCCCTTTTGAAGATGGTGCTTGGCCGTTGGGATGCTCAACAGTTATAAGCCCCGTATAGTTGATTTCTTCGTTTTGTTGGATTTTCAGAGCGTAATCTGAGCCATCTTCCAGGTCCTCGCTGGCCTTCCAGGTATATTCATTTCCACGGGCGTCACGCGTAAGGACATCCACGTCGCTAAGGTTGTTCGCCGCGCCCCTGCGAAGGGTAATAGTTGTGGGCTGCAGGGTAACAATGTCAGAGTAAGATTAACGGTAGGGGATGGTCAAGTCCCAGACACGACATACAAGATCAGGGTCACCGATCCACTTTACAGTATTATCTTCACCAGCATGGATGACGCCTGGCCACTGAGTAAATGACAAGGCATCTATTACACCAGCATGGGCCAAGCAGGCAATAGTTGTGAATATAGATTCGAACGCGCGCATGGTGAATAGTTTATACCTTGTTAAACGTTAGATAATGGGTGAGATATAAGCACTTGAAGTATACAAGCAACGAGGAGATGGCAGCAGCACGGTGCAATAATAGTTGATGGCAATGCAATAAAGGGGATACAAAAGGAACTTCACTCAAGTGCGAAGTCCACAGCCAGGTGTTCTCATATAAGCCTTCCTTAACCCTCACTTACAGATTTAGGCAAGCACGACCAACGAGGATGACTCTTCAGTAAATAACTAATACTTTTAACAATGCTCAACGTTGAATGTGGCCCAAGGATACCTCAGTGATGAATGGAGTAGAAAGTCGATTGTGTCCCAGAGTGCAAGGACAGGGCGCCCCGGACATGTTTATAAGCCGTGGCTTTTGCTTGAAGACCCCCATTTTTTGGCTTGTTTGTTATACTTCACCCAATCCTAGAATGAGGGGATAGTCTCCTAGTCACATTCTTGGTCACCCAGATGGTGGGATGGGTTGGCTACTAGCTGATGGGGAGAACTCAGGGAATGTTGTGTCTTTCTTGTTCTTACATTCTTCGGGGATTCTCCCTCAACTATGGCTGAGGTAGTATCATATACTGAGCGAAAATTATTATGTTACTTTTAACATACCAGCGTTAGGCCTAAGTTTCTACTAATTCTCCCTTAATTCATTTTTAACATTCATGGGTAATGAAATGAAAACTCCTAAAGCTCACAACTCTCAACAGTACCGTGCCGGGCATGCATGGTTTGAACTTGGTAGTTGCATTGGAGGCAATACCCATAAAGATGGGCGCGTCTTTTCAGAAGAAATACGGAGTAGTGCATGTAGAGCTCAGTCTTTTAGCTGATAAGTCTCCAAGCCATCTGAGCAATAGGGTACATTGGTCAGGTTTTATTTGGAGAGTACGTAGCCTTATCTAAATGTAGCCGCTGTGCCTACATGAAGGTGGGAAGGAAATCCCTGCTAAGGAATAAGCAGTGCAGCAAGAGGGGCTAAACACAGGTTGTGCAAAATTGCTCTTCCTCTTGAATGGTATGACAATATAGTATAACATTCAACCCGTTATTCGGGTGGATAAACTGCAGAGATTGAGTTCTGGTGGCTGATATATATAATAAACCCTAATCAGTGGTGGCAATACTGAGGATGTAGTTATTGTTTTTCAGGGGTCAACAGAATTGCCAGGTGAGAAATCTCTCACAGTTGGTTGCCTTGAATCTCCATACACGTCACATAAATCTGAGGTACATGGTACATATGCATGTTCTATGTTGCGATAGGTAGTGTTCGTTGGGTATATATGATTGATCTACCCATCCGCGGCGGCTAATCTTCTCTTCGTCAGATCCACCACTATTGTCATGTACTCTCTCTTTCTCTCTCTCTCTTCTCTCCAGCGCGGTTCAATTTTTCTGCTTATACCTATCGAGTTTCTTGTAGATCATTATTATTGTCTTTCTCCTGTGCTTATTCCTCACATTTCGTTCGCGGTTCAAGTTTCTCCCATCAAATCTCCTTCATTTCCCTCCCTCAGTGGATAGTTACTGGTTTTTGGGCAGTGGCTGTAAGTTTATCATCCACAGCTCGCTACCAGTTCCCAGTGCCTTTCTTCGACTCGTGTGTCTTCCCTTATATCTATTACTGCCTTTTTTTCACGGCATCCTATCCTGATGTCTCAGCGATGAATAAGCACCAACAATAATTTTTCGTAAAAGCTCTGCTGCAGATCTCCTGCAATCAAAGGTCTTGATCCACTCCTTGGTATGTACGTTTTTTCCCCCTACCTATCCGGAATCTGTTGTGCATCAATTTATGCATGGCAAATATCCAAGTCCTGGGACCCTTCTGCACAACCGAAGTTTCATGATCCCGACGTTCAGAAACTCGTTGGCCGAGCCGTGAGGTGCAGAAGGCTGGTTTGTTGTGCCTGAGAAGTGAGGTTTGCTCCTTGCTTACAGCTCTGACTATACCTGCGTTTCCACTTCTGGTATTTCTACTCTTATTGTGTGATCACTCTTTCTACTTCATTCATCCTTTTTTCATGGATCCCCTTTTACGGTCATTCCCGTAGCTCCCAACATTCCAACAAATACCCACAATGCCGAGCATGGCCCGATTCGGTCGGGCCAAGAAAACGCCAAAAGCAGTAGCCAACAATGCTAACTCGGACATGCTTGTATCACCGACGTCAGATCCTCCGCGACGGTCCCCTCGTGTTAGTTTACCACATGTGGAAACGCAACTGAATATGCATCAATACAGTGGTCTTTTTGATCTCGACGCCCCGGAACGTCTAAAGGCCGTGGAGTCGTCTGCAGGTGGGTGGTTTTTTTTCTCCCCTTATCGGGCTCCGATTAGCCATCATTCCAATCGGACAAGTCACCAGTTGCTTATTGTGAGATTATGTGCACATTCTTACAGAGTCGATTACTTCGCATTCCTCGAACGCCCGAACAAATGGGTCAACACTTACGAACAGTGACTCAATGACAACTGAATGGTCTTCGGCAGTCGGTCACGCAGCCACGGGCAAGTCTGGTCGTGTCATACATAATCTACAGGAGGATATTGCCCGCTTGACGCGAGAGTGCAGTGTTTATCGTTCCCGGGCGGAAGAAACACAGCGCATGAACGATGCCTTCAAGACTCAGGTACAAAACATGACGGAACGTCTCCGGAACCTGGAGCAGGCACACGAGACGAACCTGCATTCGATCTCTCGCAAAGATAAGAAAATCGAGGAGTTACGCGCAGAGGTGCAGAGCGAAAAGGATAGACGACTGCGAGCAGAGACGGACACGAAAAAATTCCATCAACTGATGGATGAAAGCCGTGATGATTTCAATCGGAAATGCGCGGAGTTGCAGGAGATCGCCAACCATGCTCGGACCCAGTATGACGTGCTTGCTAAAGCTGGGCAACGTGAGCGCGCAGATCAACAAAGGAGGGTGAAGGCGATTCGCGATGAGATCGATGCTCTAAAAACACGACAAGAAGAAAAGAGTCTGCACCTTGAGCGCTTGGATGCTGTGATGGCCCAGAAAAATCGTGAGATTGAGATTGGCCGAGAAAATTTTGACAAGCTCTTTGAGGTGTACGAGTCCTATAAAAAAGCCCATGACGAAGAGGTCCACACACTCGTTGAGAGGGGTCGCCAGGGTGATGCCAATTTGAACGCAGCTTTGGCTTCTTTGAAGGAAACTGAAGATCGGATGAAATGGGCAATCCAGGTCAAGAACGAGGTCAAAGATGCCAATTAAAACTGGACCAATAAAGGTCGTGGCGCGTCCACGGTGGCCTTTTCTTTTCTTTAACAGGCAGCTAGCGCTGGTCGTGAAAGCCTAGGTGGATTAGCAGGTTTGTTAACAAACTACTTCGGTAACAATGTTTCCTACTTATCTAACACTGGACAGTTTTCTTTCTTTATGCTGAGGACACACCTATCGCAACCTGTCTCCCTCCCTAATGGACCGGTTGGTCTCGAACTTTGGGTGTAAGCCCCAGGTTGCTCTTCTCTTTGACCTGTTTATATCCCCCCTTTCATAATCTGAAAGCATTTCATTCCACTTCCCGGCGAATCTGTCCGGGCTCAATCGCTGTTATCTGGAGTTTGGGATTGTTTGATACCCTGGGGGAAATCCACTGCCATATCACCTTGCTTGTTAGATTGCATTTACAGTACAGTGATGCCCACAATGACTAGACTGATAGATATATTTACAACATGCACATACAGGAAACTACTGTGAATTCACGTATTGGACAGACACGTGATGTCCTTCTTTGTATTCAGCTGTCTTTGGTCAAAGTTCCGACATTACCTGCCCCTTCCTTAGGTTGCCTAGCGGCTTACTATTAGAATTCTTCTATTTCTTTCTCCTCAGCCGTGAGTATTGATCAACTGCCTGTACCCCACAGCAATATTCAATTTGCGTTTGCGCATTACCAGAGAGTTCTTCACCATTGGTTGCATCTACCCGTGCAGTGTTTGTCTTGTTCCTGGGAATAGAGTCTTAGATGCCAGGCTACAGGGCCTATTGTCACGATTCATCTCACCTGAGTTCCAAGGTCTCCTTCCGCTGTTGTCTTGGTGATGTGGTGATATTTATATCTGTCTTCCCAGCTCACTTTGCTTTTCTTTCACACTCTTCCCTTACTTGCTACCGCTACTGTTTCTTCCCCTTCTAGTTTTCATAATATTCTCTTCTGCTTTACTTCGTTCCATCCTATAGTACTTTTCTCTCATATATTTTCAAGCTACATCTCTCTTTGTAGTTTCCACTGCCTCCTTTGATGCGTGGGAGTTGCTTCTAGAATGGTACAAGGATGGCGAATGAACAGCGCATAACATTCGCGTCCATCTGGGCATTCGAGGACATTGGGGTAAAGGCACTCTCCCTAGTCTGTTAATGCAGGTCATTTGCTAACCAGAATGGCGATAGGTGCAAGATATAGGCATTGAAATGAAGTTCGTCCCTTACGTCCCCAATGACAACTCCACCAATACTGATGTGCGCTATAGGAAAGCACTACCTCACCTGGATTACCACTGCGAATACCTGAGGCATGACGACGTAAGTCCTTCGAGAAACAACTTTTTCCACTGCATTGCTAATTCACTTATGCTAGCTCCTGGTGGTGAAAGGACGTATGAACGGCTCTGCAAAGAAGATCGCGGGCCTTGTTTCAACCTTTATCGAAGACCAGAAGAATAAGGATCTTCTTGATGTATGTCTCTCGCCTTTCTTGTTCAGAGATGACCGGTTGCTAATATGTCATAACAAATCTAAGATGCCACGTACTCGTCAACTGAATATTCCTATCATGCTTCGAGACGACGGAGCTTCTGTCCCAGTCGCTACTACCGAAGATAGCCTAGGGGGTCTCTTGGCTCTTGACATTGATTCGGATGTGGAGCTGATACATCAATCTCATCTAATGACTCATGTCTCAAAATTCTGGCTATCGTCGCATGGAGGCATTGGGTGCTTTGCGACTGGTTTCCATGAAGTCCTCACTGAGATTGCAGCCGTGACAGGCACAAATATTACTATAATCGATGAGGTTAAAGGCATCCAAATATCTGGAAGTAGCGCTGGAGATGTTGACGACGCTGTAGCGAAGCTCACTCGGATTGAGAAACCCTTGGTACGTGACACGCCTCTTAAAGTATATCTAGCCACTAACTACATATGTTTCTCAGTCTTGCCTTGTCAACCACAAGGTGGGCAACATGGGTATAGCCACAGAAGACAAGGCGACCCGATACAGCATTCAGAATTATAGCAGCCTGAACCAAGTGGCTCTTCGCCGTGTTCTAGCTGACCCCGCAACGAGTTTGAATCTCGGTATCAGCCAGATGTTTGTCACTACCTCTCTTTCATTCGATGAGGAATCTCAGAGTTACATGCTGCCTAAGAACGTTGTGAATCCACGGCCAATTAGCGACGGGCCGGGGAAGTCCATAATATGGCAAAATTATACTTTCCCTGAGGTTGGCAAAGGGGATGAGTTTGTTCTATTGGAATCTGTTGAAGATACAAATATTCCGGCTGCAACATCAGCGACCTCGCCCACTCACCCTTTTCTGACTGCCGAAAAGGCTAAGCAAGTCAATGAATGGGTCGCTGAGGGTAAGGAAATGGAGGTTACCAGCGAACAGCCTGAACACCCACCTACACCACCACCTGAGTTTTCAAGCAATACAACAGCAGTCCTAGGTGCTAAGAGAGGTCCAGCTATTAAGACAAGACGGCCTATTCCATCAGCTATACAGTCCAGCCAATCGGTTCCGTTGGTGGTACCAGTGACGAAATCTGAACGTGTCAAGGTCCCTGATCCTGCACCCAGGAAAGAAGATGCCTCCGCACCCCGCAGAAAATTCAAAATGACATATAGCATCGAATCGGGGAATACAGATATGCGTGTCAGCTTCTCTAGACCTACTAGCCCTTGTGAGCTGAGAGATGCGGCTGATTCCTTCCTTAATGCTTCGACACCTGCTGCACCGAAGCCACGCCCCTCCCTAATCTTCGACGAAACGAAGCATGGGCTCAATAAGCATCCCCCACGCCCTCCAGACAACAAAAATAGTGGTCAAACTTTCAAAGCTCAAAGCAAAAGTGATTATGTACCCGCTCGGACAACCAAAAAGCTCGACACGAACAATTTGCTTGTTGACGTGACCGCACCAGCAGCCATAAGTACGAATTCTCTTCCGATGATGCGTGCAGACCAGCCAGCTTTGATACCACTGAATGCAAACGTTGACTCCGAAAACACGGTTCTAAAAAGCAATGCGCCATCGCGGATAAACAACATCGCCCACGACTTGAATGGCTTAGTGATGGAAGCGGATTGTGGACCTCAAGATGACTCTGGCTGCCCTGTATCACATGAGGGTGCAAAATCAGGTAAAAATGACAATCTTTCAGAGCAGGTCAAAAGGCTCGTCATGTTGGAAGAGGCTTTCCTTGAGCAGACGAGAGAGTCAACCACAATTAGTGAAGTCTCGGCATGCGCTGCCAATCCTCCCAGTCCCCGAAATCAAATAAATGCGGTCTTGTCAAGAAGGCGACTTGAAGAGCTCGAGAGACGACACAAAGCGGAAGGAAAACAACCAAGCGATGAGGTGACTACCAGGGAGTTTCATCATACAATGAATCACAAAGCGCCTAAGCCAAGTCACAATGTCTCAAGTAAGTCTCCGAGAAAAGCGAAGAGGCAAGCCACTCTGGAGGATGCCTGGGGAATACCGAAAAAGCCGACAAAGAGCCGGATCTCAGACAACCCAACTCCATATGAAAATATGGGGCCCAAGAATATATCTTCCCGACACACGGCGCAGGAAGATGTGCAACATGCCCGAAAGGTGCAAGGAGAGCTGAGTATGAATGAGAGTATCAAACAGCTTTTTGAGATCCTAAAACCTACATTGAAAGCTGCCGAATATTTCCCTGGGTCTTTGACTTTGGAGGTTCAGATTGGTCTCGCATTGATTCCAGTTCTGCCGAAGACCTACAAGGAGGGTCTCATCTCCTTAAGAGAGTGGACAGAGATAATGCAACCACGGACTGGCGTATCTGCACCAACTACCAAGTTCATTGATAGGCTCACAACATCGGGACTTGATGTTGATCATATTGTGGACCTTAAAACATCAAAAAATGGGAATCGCCGTTTCTTTGAACACGAAGACAATGAGTATAGTGTTTTCTATGAGTTCCATTGCCGCTCTAAAACAGATCAATCTATCATTGTCGAAGTTGATGGATGCGGAAAATATTCCATCAAGAAGCCAACCGAAGCACTAGGTGCAGTCAATATTCACTTTCCTGGTAGTATCTGGGATGCTCGTATGATTGTCCGTGGCAATATTGCATATCCTATCCAAGGATACCAAGAATTTGAAGACGCCGCCCGATATTTGGTGGACCATCTCTGGGTCCAGCCCGACAAACACCTCGTCCGTCTTTACACTAAAACTTCCAAAGACAAACATCTGACTGTGGACAAAGTTCTTATGAAGCGTTGGACCCGCTATCGGTATATTCGTTCGAACGATTGCTCCTCTAAAGGCATCAACACCCCCGACACTTCGTCATCGACAGGAGGAAAAGAAGATTCCGCTGCTGATTCTGTGGGATCCAAGAGTGCAGCAAAAGAAATGAACAGTGTCGACAACGGTGGGACCCCCGAAGCACAAGAGCTTCAACTGCAAGTCACAGAAGTACAGGATCTATTGATAGGGTCCAGCTCCGCGGACACTCAAGCAATAAGAGCACGTTGCATTCCACTGGCGGAGATGATACGCAGGGGGAGGCAATGGTATGAAGTTTCGCTTGTTAGCTCTGCCATTGATGCTATATTGAAGACTAATGCGAATATCGAAATTGGAGAGCGCACGCACGATTGGCGTAGCCTTGACCTACTTGGAAACGACGCTATTTTACTGCAAAGCAGCATACCGGGCTGTCCAGATTCAGCATTGCCATCTAGGCCGGTCGCTACTGCTGTGGGGGCCGCAGGTATTGGTGATCTCCTCCGCCTAACGAAAGCGGTAGTTCAGAACATGGATGGCGTTGGATTTTGGAACTGTGGACCTTGTGGTGATGTTGCCCGGATGCCAGTGACCGGTTCTCTGAACGCCTTCAGTATCCCCAACAGACCTATCACATCATCCATGGATGTCATAGCAAAGACAGAAAGGAAGAGCTTGAACTTTGACGAATTGGAGAGTATCAAGGAAGTGGAAAGTAGC